ACCGTTGATTCACGTTGGGCCAACCTGGGCCCAACCGTTGATTCACGTTGGGCCAACCTGGGCCCAACCGTTGATTCACGTTGGGCCAACCTGGGCCCAACCGTTGATCCACGTTGGGCAAACCTGGGCCCAACCGTTGGTTCACGTTGAGCCAACCTGGGCCCAACCGTTGGTTCACGTTGAGCCAACCTGGGCCCAACCGTTGATTCACGTTGGGCCAACCTGGGCCCAACCGTTGATTCACGTTGGGCCAACCTGGGCCCAACCGTTGATTCACGTTGGGCCAACCTGGGCCCAACCGTTGATTCACGTTGGGCCAACCTGGGCCCAACCGTTGGTTCACGTTAAGCCAACCTGGGCCCAACCGTTGATTCACGTTGGGCCAACCTGGGCCCAACCGTTGATTCACGTTGGGCCAACCTGGGCCCAACCGTTGGTTCACGTTGGGCCAACTTGGGCCCAACCGTTGGTTCACGTTGGGCCAACCTGGGCCCAACCGTTGATTCACGTTGGGCTAACCTGGGCTCAACCGTTGATCCACGTTGGGCCAACCTGGGCCCAACCGTTGGTTCACGTTGGGCCAACCTGGGCCTAACCGTTGATTCACGTTGGGCCAACCTGGGCCCAACCGTTGGTTCACGTTGGGCCAACTTGGGCCCAACCGTTGGTTCACGTTGGGCCAACCTGGGCCCAACCGTTGGTTCACGTTGAGCCAACCTGGGCCCAACCGTTGATTCACGTTGGGCCAACCTGGGCCCAACCGTTGATTCACGTTGGGCCAACCTGGGCCCAACCGTTGATTCACGTTGGGCCAACCTGGGCTCAACCGTTGATCCATGTTGAGCCAACCTGGGCCCAACCGTTGGTTTACGTTGGGCCAACCTGGGCCCAACCATTGCATGTTTACTGGGACTCTCCTAGCCGCGCTGGGTTCTCACCCGCGCCTCCAGTTACCACAGAAAGCTACGTACGACGTGAAAGAAGTTCAACGTACAAACCTAGCTAAACAATAGATTTTAAATGTGATCCTTGATTCGTTTTGTGTATGTGGAAATTCCACGTTACGGCGGCAGGGCCGAGTGCATTCTTTAGTTATACGTGTGTCGTGGGAATTCCACGTGTCTATATCTGATGGTAATGTGTTTACATAGAAGTCTTTAACAAATGAATCGATTGGCGGTAGCCCGGGTCACCGCAAAATATTGGTGGGCTGGGCATAGTTTAAGGTTTTTTTTCTGGGAGCATCGCTGGTACTACCACCCTGTTCTGCCGGAGGGCGACGCTGGGAGCGATGATGACGACGATGTCGATCCCGCCAGCACGACCATGACCGTCGGCCGTACCAAGAGAGCGCCTGGTGCGCCATTGCCTCTAAGTAGTCTCACTCCCAAAGACAAGGAGGTGGCCGCCCCCGTAAGATGCAGAACGTGCTGGGGAATGACCAGACCAGCATCCCGATATACTTTCAAAACAAGCAATAAACAGCCGTTGCCACGCACAAATCCCCAGCAGCCCCCCTTTTTTAAGGGTGTTTTGCGTGTGTTTTTTATTTCCACATTTGGCATACGTATCGGGCTCAGTGACATCTCCCGTCTTCATAGGCCTTCTGGTTTCGGAGTTATGGAGGTTTTGGCACCCCCGGGTCACGATGGTGACCCGGGTCACCGCCAATCGATTCAAATGAAGATGCTTAACCGCCACCGCTGGATGAGAATTTTTGGAGGTTAATTGGCCTTGCTTCACAACAGCAAAAAGTCAACATTCTTGAATAGCACTGTGACTTTAAAATGAAACAAATACAATAGGCGACGTTTTGGGCAACGACCCTTCTTCATAGCGCACAAATTCGCCACCAAGGGTGGACGTTACACACTGCCCACCAGGTTTCCCCGCAGCAGCCTAAAGCGCTTGTTATGCGTGATGGTAGCCCATCTAAGCTCTAGGCTCAACCCTGCTCAGCTGCTGAGATTAGATGAGATTGAGCACATGTCGCCGAACTCTCTCAGGCTACACTTTTAACTTCAAAGGCCCGGGGTGCCATTGTACCGCGCGGCCAATCGTGCGCTTAACTGCGGTTACCGCCCCCCCCCCCCCCCCCCCCCCCCTGTTACCGTGTCCTCCCTCGAGTGCTGCGCAGCGGCGGCCACCCATTGTCCCTCGTTGCCCATTGTCTGGAAGGGCCCTTGCGCTTTTGCTTATTTAATATTTCGCCCTCCGTCCTCCCCCCAGTGTTGTGAGTAACTCATTGCATTTGGCCCAGGGAACCTTTTCTTTCTGCGCCCATACAGTTTTAAACCAAATTTTAAGGGCATCGCAATGTAACCTGTCCTGCGAGGGTCGGCCAAACTCCTGGCACCGGGAAACCGTGGGACTCTCCCTCTAGGGGCCCTTCGGATTAACACCCGATGTGTCAGGCAGGACACTACTACGTGGGTGTGCAAGTGCTGCGTGTGTGCGCGTGTGCTCAGGGTGGGGGGTAGCGGACAATCGCGGCGCTTGCGGAGTTGCTCCGTGGTCGTGGCACCACAGAATGACTGTCCGAAACACATCCCTCGTGTTTCCCATGAAATTAATGGGAAAAGCCATAAATGAAGTGCGAACGCATCCCTTCATAAATAGGATACCTGTATTGTTTAGGTTTGCCTAATCGGCGCTGGAGTACTTGCAGTAATCCAGTTAAATGATTATTCTCAACCACTGGAGTGGCAGCCAAGGGAGGAATCATGCCAAATCACGTGCCCACCCCAGAGATGTAGTGATGCAATCATGTGCGAGGCGGATTGTTCCACTGCAGGATCGTGAGAGATGGCAACAGCTTGGGAAGCCCTTCATCCAGAAGTGGATTTTTCACAGCTGACGATGAGTCATTTGGTTGTCTTTTGGAAATTCTGTCATAGGAACATGGAACATTCACCACTGGCTTCGAGCTGCCAACAGTGATGTAGGCAGCTCCACCTTTGTTTGTATGTATGTTGACCTTCGATCACACCGTATGTAGCCAACCGTGACAATCTCCCCGTTTCAACAGGGGGAACGTTTGTCTTCAGCTTAATAGTACGAAATGACAATGCTTCTGTGCAGCATGGAATAAAATACATATTTCTCAAATTGTGCGTGCCATTACAGTGGTGTATAGGTGGCATGAGGGTGGTGTCGGTGACGTGAAGATGCGATCCCCCACAAAGGATCCAGCCTCTGGAGTTGTCTTCACAAAGCTGTGCTTATTTTCTTTCATCAAAGGCACCGACCGAGAGGTCCTCGCAGCAGTCAGCCGTGACGGGCTTCGCAGAAAACATTTACAAACTCGGAGCCAGAGATGACACGCGGAGATTCGGATATGAACAGCGCCCCTGCTATATGTCGTTGAAATAACTCACTTGCGCAAATCGTTCTGTTTTGAAATGAGAAGCAAACCCTTGGCAGATTTCACTTGGAAATTTGTGCAGTTTTTTTCCCGCAGCGTGCTCCCCACTGAGTGTTCAAGGCTCAAGAAGAGGTCACGAAAAGCGAGGATTTTCCTTGAAATATTTGACGGTGCCGCCCTCAACTGTACAGGTGACAGCATTTGAGTAGCTCTGTTAGCAAGTTCCTCTTTAAAGCCAGAAGCCCCACTAAAAACAGTCCCACACTTAACGCCGACATACGAACATGCGCACTTACGAATGAGCTTCCATAAAGGTATTTATTTTTAACCATCTGACTTGCCAACGTGAGCTCGCACTTGCAAGGCGAACCGCCTATTTGTTCTTTTTAGTTGAACAATGCTTCCCTTTTTTGTTGCACACTGGCCGTATGTGCATTTAAATATATTGTGTTCCGACTTACGAAGGGGTCTCAGGAACGGAAGACCATTCACAAGTCGGGGACTGCCCGTATCGCATGGGGAGAGCTGCCCGAATTGTTTCTCTCCACGTGCTTCTAATTTGCGCCTCTTCTATCGTCAAACAGTCCTATGTCATTACACTGCAACCTCCCATCTCACGTTCAGTTTCCCTCTACCCCTGTTGCCCTGCACTGACATCTCCATCGTGTTAGAATGCCACAGTACGTATTGCATGAACTCAGGTTAAAGGCAGTCTGCCACAGTCACAGTGTGGTGGCAATGGTATTCTCAATGTGGCAGAGCTCACCACATGCCCATCACAATGCTACTGCCAACCACCTACAGCACAATGCCCTCTAAACACCCGCACAAAGCTCAACAAGAGCTACCATTCGCCACTAAGATGTCACCCCAGCGGTTATGCCAGGCTAGGTGCACTTTGAGGCCACGTTAAGTGATGGAAGGCTCGCTGGCAGGTCACGGGACATGCGGAGGCGTTAGTCGATTGACTGTGATGACAGATGTACCACTTGTGATCCCCACTGCGACAATTCACTGTTGAGTCACCCGGCGCTCTGCTCATTGTTGTGGGCGCTGCTCCTCTGCCCTCCGTTGTTGTTGAGTGGCCAGGAGCATCCTTTATGAGCCTCCACACACCTCGCCCACGGACTGTCACACATGCGTGCACCGGTTCGGTTTCTGAGAGCGGTGATGCACCAGGGTTAATCATCCCTGGAAACCTGGTTTAATTTGGCACGGCAGTGGCGTGGTGACCAGAGTTCGGTGCAGCCAATTAAAACGAGTTGTTGAAAAGTTACAAAATAATTCCCAATTGTTTCGCCAGGAAAACCTCAGCCTGGGGCGGCGATGCCGCTTGTTGCAGGGGTTCGAGGTTGGAATCGAGCTGCCGTCCCGGCAATTACTGTGGGGGCATTCACCATAGAAGCTGCGCCCCATATGCTTCACAGGGGGCATTAAAGATTCCACGACGTCTTTCACAAGTGACCCACATGGTATGATACGCACAGTTATTGCTCCCTGTTGGCAGACCACAAGCTTGGCCAGTTGTTGGTGCCGGTGCTTGTCTGTGGTATATGCTCTCCTTGTTCTGCATGGTGATAAATAAGTGACATTTATTAACTGCAACAGTTAATAAGCGGCATGGGGAGAAAAAAACTATCACACGTTTGCATTTATTGGTTTAATATTTTATGATAGACAAAGTGACAAAATAAAGACCACACATACTGATAATATATATGCGTGTGTACACAGACACACAAACTCTCTCTATTATTTATTGACTTAAACCAGGAGTACAGTAACAGCAATTTGCTATGAAAAAAGCCGAAAGGAAAAAGCAAATCTAGGTGCAGCTTAAAACGGACACAATACAACTGTACACAATTTACACAGATTATAGCAACAAATAATTAAAATAAACTTTCTTCTTTCAGAATATACAAATTAAAACGCGCCCTACAACGTGACGTACGTGTTTTTTTTTTACACAAACCCTGGAAACATCTGAATCAGAATTCCCCATATTCACGCAAATTAATGTTTTGTCTTTATAAAAAAAAGGAGAAACGTTGAATATTTAGTCACGTTCCATAAATCGACAGGATGAGCGAGTACAATGTGGAACTCGCAGTGGCGTAAGCTGTCGGGGTGTGCAGGCGGTGCAACTGCAGACCCCTCCCGGGGGACCCCACGGGCCAGAGGGGCCCAGGCGCCGGGCGACAAAGGGGAGGGAGAGGTTGACCAGGGATGGATGGGGGGGGGGCAGCTTCCCTTCCACAACCACCTCCGAGCCCCCCGCCCCATCCCCCTTTAATAGTTTGCGCCAGGGCCCCATTCCAACCACGCTACACCACTGGGCTCGAGCATGGCACGCAAAGGGAGACTGGGTCGTCAAACTTTGTCCTCTCTCCAAGCCCTCTCGAGGTGCTTCCCGACACAACCGGCTCAGCTGAAGGGACAACTTAGCGAGGGGCCTCTCGAAGCAGCTATGGGACTGTTCTGCACCATGGTTTTTTTTTAAATACTGTACTGAATCTAGAGACACGCTAGATTGTGCTTTCAAGATGGAACAAATTCCCGTTTTCAGTCCGTCTCAATAATTATCCCGGAGGTGACAGATTGGTCATTTTTTTTCTTCTAAATCTGCCAGACTTTCAGCCAAAATTACTACTACATTCACATGTGCTGTCCATTTTAAATTAAGTTAATTAACACATGTCACTGACAGTGCATCTGTATGCACACTAACGATGCATTTAAATACTGTTGATGCTCATGTCACCTCGCATATCAACACCTTTTTTTTTAAATAGCAGCACAATTCATTACGCAGGAGATTTAACGTTAGGTAAAAATAAAAGAGGATTTTTCTTTTTTTTACTACAAAGAACCAACGAAAGCAAGATTCCTTTCACGTCACCGGCCAATGCATAATAACATCACGGGTGGTTACATTTTGAAGCATCAGCAGAGCCACGTGCATGGGTCGAGAGCAATGCAAGCGCCACCGTCGACGGGGAAACGCTTCCGAAAAAAACCGCGGCCTGTCTGTCCACAGTTTCACCCCCAACGAGGGCATGCAGCAGCGTGTTTTGACCACCACCAACACCACCACCATCATCATCGCAGAGAAACCAGGATTCGGACACCTGTAATGATAAGCACTGCCAGACGCCCCCCCGCCCGCCCCCGCCTCGCCATTCCATGAACCGTTTGCGATGATTCAGGGGCCACAATTAGACGATTGAGTTGAATCCATTCACCTTTGTTTTCCTATTGTGGTGAAGTTCACGGCATACAGTGGGCAGCGGCAGAAGTCCTCCGATGAACCCATTACGAAAAGGGAGTACAAACGTGGAACGGCCCTTTTGCCAATTCACGATGAGGAAGGATGACCTCGCCCCGCGTCGGTCACGGGCCGCGGATTGACTCTATTCACTGTGGGTCCCTGGAGGAAGAGACCCAGCAAGGAGCAATTCGAAGATCAACGCAACGTTGGTCGCGGTTGAGAATCAAACTCGGGTGGCCGGGTTCGTAGTGCAGTGTGTCAAACAATGCGCCAACGTCCCCCACACCCACCCGCTACGCGAAGTTAAAACGATAGATTTTTACCCTCGCGATTTGACGCCTGCTTCGCGGGGTAAGAATCTTATTTTAGTCCATGGGTGCGTCGTTACTACCCGACAAAGACGCGTGGTGACAAATCGTTAAAGAGTTTCGACGGCTTTGGCGACGACGGATTAACAATCGGCGCGACCGAGGTGGGATTCGCACGCGAGACGAGGTGCGCCATCGATCGTTCGAGCGAGACTGGAATATTGGCAAGCGAATAACGCGCGGAGAGTGACGTTTCAGATAGAAGCGAGAGCGGCGTGAAATCGGCACAGGATTGACATGCAATTAGGACGCGTGAGATTGACATGCCACTTTGACGTGTGCTAGAGATATGTTGATCGACAAGCCAGATCAACGTGAACATGTGGGACTGACATGTGGGATTTAGATGTGGGAACGACATGTATATTACCGACGTGAGAATGAACATTTGAGATATGCAATTGACATTTGATGCACTGCCAAATCCGAGACCATGACCACACTCATGTTTCTGACACGTCACCTAATTAAGATGTTTCTGGCTCTGGGCCTTATTCATGTCCTCAACATCTATGAACGTTTTTTTTAACGATTAAACTTCCTTAAATGTCCAATTATTTTAAGCGACGGATCCATGCAAAGTTCCATTTATGGATCACCGCACACAAGCTGTAATTTAACCACGATCAAGAACTGATGCGAATATAAGGTGAATATTTTTTGGCACAGGGCTTCAATCGATCACTTTATATATTGTGTTCCTTGATGTAGCCAGTCGCCTCCTTATATGACAATAATTGCGTTACCCTTTATTTACACGGGAAAGCGTCGCTGACTCAAGGCTTCCTTCACGAGGGTCCTGCGTCCAGATGGTTGGCCAATTTTATGAACAAGTGCTCGGCATGTTTGAGGAATCCAGAGTGCCCGGAGAAAAAAAAAACTCACGCATTTTAGGGGGATACACTATCAAAGCTCCGCCCGGACAGATCCAACCCTATTTCAGCTCTACCACCCGGCCACTGCAAAGTCCAACCTCACGTCCCCTCGTATTCACGGGGCAGGTTTCCCACCCACAACGAACCGGACTCAACCCCGCGTGGCCTTCCGAGATCCAATTAAAAGCCACCGAAATCGACTCGGGCGAGACTGCTGCCGCAGCGAGCTCGAAGTGGAGTGTGCAGACTTGGCAAGGCGCGGCGACCGTCAACCCCCTCCCCCCCCACCACTGCTACCGCGACTCCGGCTCCGACTCTGCGCACTCCACGCCCGATCCGAGCTGCGGCTTCGCCTGAACGGACCCAACTTGCGTCATCACGCACGCCGCCGCTAGCCGCCAGCCCTGCCACAAAATATGACACGGGTATGGGTAGCCGGTTGCATTTAAAAAAAAGACACACCTTTGGGTGAATTTTCTTACGCCCGGCGTCTAAATGAATGGTCCGGGTGAGGTGAAGTGTAAAGATTCGGCCGTATCAGCACGCGATTGGTTGTGTCGCGACTGCGGGGAATCGCAATTCTACTCCCGAGAAACCGCCGTGGGGAAAATGATGCTTATTGTAGTGGCCTCTAGTGGCTGGAGGGGTGTGTGTGGGGGGTCACACGAACCGTACAACGTTGCTAATATCAACTGAAAACGAACAAAGAACAACCCGACGCTCCCACGTGCGGCACGGCTGAGAGTTGAGACGCGTCCACGGTGCCCTTACAACCCCTGGCTCTCAGTGCCAAAGTGGAAAATTCCACTGAAGGTCGAGCGAGAGAGCCGTCATTTGCAACTTGTCGCAAATCTCCACAAGGGACGCTGTTTGAAAGGGATTTTCAGAGGGGGTTTTGCTTGCCGGGTCGGGAGGGGCGAGCGGTGAGGGATAAGGGTGGGTGGGGGGGGGAGGCGCTAATGTTTTCCTCATGTCGCCTTCATTAACCAAATCCCTTTAATTTTGTTTTCACTTTGTCGGCGTACTGAAACGTGGATCCGAGTCGCACCGGCGCTGCAACGAGGGGACTGTGTCGTCGTCTCTCACACCGCAATCGACGGGGCGGGCAACGGGCCCCACCGACGAGCGAGTTAATAATAACGATATTCATCGTTGTTGTTGTTGAAAATAACGCTTCGTCAACCGAGGTTGAAGCCGTCGAGGGCATCGGCTCTGTCCACCTGCAATGGACAGGGGAAGATGCGACCTCTGCACGACTGACACAAAGCCGCCCCAAACAACATCCTCCTTACGCACTCCCTCGGCAGGAGGGGTTCCTGCTGCTCTCCCGTGCCCCCAGCTGTCGACGTAGCGCCACGGGACGCGACGCTTCCTCTGCTGCGCGCCTCTATGGCCCGAGCCACCGCTGCTAATTGTTACTAACACGAATCACACTTCCGAGGGGGGCCGAAATCGCGGCGTTGGCGAGTGTTAACAGAAACCCGCGAGAGTCCTCTTCGCTGTCGCCATTATTCCTCTAGCACGGGCTAGAGGAAGGTGGTTCTTGTGTTCGCACAGTGAATGTATTTTGTTTTACGGGCAGCCTTAAAACATGCAGGAGTTGCACTCCACGCGCACAACCCCCAGCTCCCGAAGCGGTGGACATTCGAACGGAGGGGGGGGGAGCAGCTCCTTCAATGCTTTCAAATAGCACCGTTCCCCGTGGTCAAGTCAATCGATTCTCTTGCCCTGCAACCAAAGAGGGCTCCGTGTGGCCGCATAAAACGCGCGCAGACTTACGCGTGTTCGTATACAAGCAAAGACGACTCCGTACAGAAGCTGGATTTTTTTTTTCTTACAGAGTAAGGCAAGGGCTCAGACAGCAAACGCGTAAGGCAAACATTTAACTACAAAACACATTCAGAAAAAAATAAATACAATTAACAGGAAATGTCTTCTCCTCGGCATGACAATATAGGTGTCATCGATTAATCACACCAAATAAAGATTTCTAGTTCTTTTTAGAGTTTTTTTGTTTGTTTTTAATATATATCGTCATCTCTGACTTAGCGTGATTATGTTACAATTTACAGTTTCTTGTGGAAAACAGTATGCGATGTCATGATTTAAAAATAAAATCTGGCGTCTGACGAGTTTCACGGCCGACTGCACAATCGCGCGCGGGTTCCCCTCTCGACACAAAGTGCCGTGGGGGGGAGGGGAGGGGGTCGGAGGGGGTCAAACGCGCGGATGAACGGGGGCCAGCAGGTCACGATCACGACATCACGACACGGGAACTGGCACGTCGTCGTTTTCTTAGAAGATTGCAGGTAGAGTGTTTCACGTGCCGATATAGCCAGCTGGGTGCGCCGTTGTGCGAGGACATTTGTTTCGAGACTACGCAAGCCCGCTGAAAACGGGGCCCAGTCTCAAACGTGGAAACAAACAGACCCCCGGGGTTGGTTAGTCCGTGTACTGACAAAAGGCACTTTGCCCAAAACCTCAACTTGCCGAGGTCGAGTGTGACATGTGACTGACGCAATTGTGCTGGAACGTCGACGCCCGGCATTGCCTGTGACGGAAGTCCCTTGATAGGTGAACGTCTGGGTCAAAACACGGTCAAAATTTAGAACTGCATACGCACGGCTGTTTACTTACGCAGGAGGGCTAAGGCATTTTCAGTGAGTTGGGATTTTTTTTAAGTTCTCGTAGTTTTTTTGTTCGTGGAAAACGGTTGTAACGTTTCGGAAAATGTTCACGAGTGTTTGAGTCGGGCAAACGATGCCGCATTTTTGAAGTACAAGCTGCACACACGTTGCTACGGAGTCGGATGAAGACCCAGGATGCATTAAAAACCGGTCACTCAAAAGTGGAGGTGGGTGGGTGGTGTTCGCAGCGGGGATAAGAGCTGGCACCGACTCCGAATTGAAGGGAGACGATGTCGCCGGGCGCGAGCGAGCGTTGCCGATTATAATCGATTATAATTATCGATGGGCCCAGGGAAGTCCTGGCTGCCACACGGGGCCACGCGTGCCTCCGTCACCGCGTCAGGACAGGCCCACGATCGCGCACTGCCCACACCCCTTCGCCGCTCGCCCCTCCAAACGCAGAGCCGCAAGGTTCCGACCAATGTCTCTCGGCACGCTTGTCGTCCTCCAAAACGAGACCAAAAATGACGGGAAAGTTAAGTCCTAAACGCGAACTTCACAAAAAACACCAACAGCAACAACAACAAAAAGTGGCCGTGCGAGACCGCGGAGACGCCACAACGCGGCTGGGCAAAGTGGACCGACGGCCGCCGCCAGTGGGGACGTCCCGCCGAGGAGATGGAGCGCGCGCACGCGCGTGGGAATGGCGGATCCCCCTCCCCCCCCCGCCCCCGCGGAATCCGCTCGCGGCGAGCCGAGCTTCGCGCGAACGAAGAAGAGTCGCCGCTTTGTTACGGCCTGACGAGGCGAGGAGCGGCGAACACTCTGGGCTAAGCGGTGCGTCGCGTCGGGCCGCGTGGCCTTAAGATTTCGCGAGCTGCCAGCTTGTGCGAGGGCACCGATGTGAAGTCGATTTAAGTTTCACCTTTTATTCTTGTCGCGAGCCGCATTGTACGCAACCCCGTCGGGTTTCACGCAGTGTTTTGTAACTGTGTTTTCTCTTTTGTCCGAGTCCCACGCAGGTGACCTCCACCTGCCGGAACCCCACCCGACCCGCCCAGTGCCGGCCCCCCTCTGGGCCCTGTGGAGCGCCAGGTGCCGTCCCGCGCCAAGGGATCGAAGCGAGGGCCATCGTCCCTCACTGGAAACCGGTGTTGAGCAGCTTGGAGTGAGTTGAGGTAATAAAAGACCACACCGTGAGTGGTCCAGAGACATTGCAACGAACATGAGAACCGCAACGCAGTGCTGCTGCTGGGGGTAAGGGGTTTGGTTTGTTTTTCTATCGTTTTTTTTTTACGTTTACCGTCAACACAAAAGAAAACATTTATTTGAAAAGCGACTAGGGAGATGGTTGAAGACAACTTGTAGCAAGATGGACTCTCACTGTAAACTAACTGAACAGCAAAATAATAACTTTTGTTTTGTTATCAACGACATGCATTTCTTAAAATCTTCAACAGCGCGATTCCTTTTTCACGGTCACACGACAGCGCACTTTCCTCTTTCTTCCCCCTCGTTTCTCTCGATAATATCACAAAATAAATAACATAGCAAATGCTCTCTTTTCAAATATATGAAAATCTTTAGAATTACAAAAGGTTCGGTGAGGAATTGATTAAAACGCTACAGGAAAAAACAAAAACAGTCGGAAAGACTACGAAAGTTACGCAACGATTCAAAGTCCGGCGAGGGCCGACCAACGCCTTCCCGTCCAGCTTCATTTGCCCCCCTTTCCTCCCACAATCCTCAGCTCCCAAAGTACTCCCGTAATGAATATATACAACCGGTAATTGAATGTAACGGAACTGGTTTACACCTGAGTTTGCAGAGATGCTTCTTTGTAGTGTTTACCGATGAGAATATAAACGGTTAAAACAGATATCTGAAATGCACCATGATGATGATGACGACGACGACGACAGTGGTCGCGGTTTCAACTGAAACGAAATGAGGAATAAAAGAAGCGCAACCCTGACGAAAGGGCGCGAGATCTGAAATAACAAAAACGGTGGCGGCAGAAGCAGCAGAGGCTCGAAACGAGTTGGTGGGTCTGCTGCTGCGGCGTGCAGGCCGGCGGGCAGACGTGCGGGCAGACGTGCGAGCGTGCCGGCCGGACCCTACAGTCGCAGGAGGGGGCACGGCCACGTGCGAAGCTTGAGAGTAAGCGCAGGCGATGGATTGGGCGACGGACGCGCGGACTGCAACCGTTGCCCTCCGTCCCTTCGGAACTAAACTCCATCGTGATTGGGCGTGAACACTGCAGAGAGCATCCTGGGCACGAGGGGGAAACATTTATGAAATAAAACGGCCTCTTAAAATTATACCTCAGATTTTTTCTTTTTTCCTAAAAGGTAATGATCATCATTATTATTGGTTGCGCAAATTTGAAATAAAAAACCATTTTATTTTGTTGAGGCAATTCCTGCCACTTGGGTGAACCACTCTGCTTTCACGAAGTAAAAAAGAAACCCCAGCAGATTAACGAGAAAAAACAATTACTTTGTTTTTCAAACGCTAAATGCCTATCACAGTTAATCAGGAAAATGCAAAGCACAAGCGACAGACGCACCCCCGAGCTCCCTCCAACATTCCTTATGTACAGCCGCGGATCACGGCGCTTATTTGCACGTGCGCGATTTTCGGATGAGGAACAAACGTCGAAGCAAATGTTCCTGTTTGTAATGTGTAAGCACTGTTTAGCAGCAGTTGTCAGTACTGTAAGTGTAGGCTCAGAGAATAAGAAAAAACGCATAACGAAGAGAGTAAAACAAAAATACAAAATCCCCTGTAAGGGATCTGCAAACATATTGAGTTAAGTGCTGTTAGCTTTCTCCCAGAACACCTGCCACCCCTCTCTTCACCATTACACACTGCTTTTGAAACATTCGAAAAGCACAAAACTTGACCCACGCACAGACGCAAGCCCGGTCACGAGATCGGAACGACGAGACGGAAACGGCGGCCAACGCACAAGCTCGTGAAAATGGTGCCCGATATGCCGTTCCGTTGGGGACAACGGAAGATCTTGAGGAACGCAGCAGATGCAGCAGCAGCAGCAGCAGCACTGGGGCCACAAAGGTCACCAACACGAGACAAAATAACAAACCCTCCGAAAAAAACTAATGAAAAGCGTTTTCGTGTATTCCACCAACGTCGTGTACATTTGGCATCTTAAGATTCCGCAGCTGAATCGGGGGGGGGGGGGGGGTGGGGGTGGGGAAATCAAAACCCACAAAGGAACCTTCCTCCCTCGGGGTCCTCTCAAAAGTCTTCACAAATTCGTCGTCAGTCGCTCTCCGTGCCCCAGGAAAGTTCTGCTTTCTTATCGACAGTGCTGGAACTGTAGTGAGAATAAAGCTACGCACAGTTCTGCCGAGCGGGTGCACTTCTTGATAGTAGTGTGTAGCTGGGTCAACAGAGGCCGGCACAAACACTGCTTGTCGCCTCTTTAACAAACAAAAAAAACTTCCTCCTTTGAAAAACCAAGAGGTGCTGCTCTTTGCTCCAAAAGCTGTCCCGTGGATTGGTTCGCTGCCAACAGAATGAAATTAAAAAGGTAGTTAAAGTGGAGACTCGGAACTCTTCCTCCTACACGATGGCTTTTCAAAGCGGACCGATCGGATTCAGGGTCCCGCGGCGACGTCGCCCCGACTCTCAAGATGCCGGGCGACTCCGTAGCCCGCTTCACGGCGGGCGCCGGAGGGACACCGGCTTCAAGACGGAGGGACAATCGCAAACGGCTTTTCCTGCCGTCCCCTAAACCCGGCCGCTCCGCCGTCTCGTCACAAACCAATGGGAACGAACAAGCAACAACAACGAAACAATTAAAAACCACTTTGGTGGAAGGGCCGCCTCAACTCCCTCTCATCCCCCTGCTGAAACCGCATCGTCGCGTCGAGGCCGGAGGTTACAGGGCGCGCACAAACGGCGGAGGGTCCCCCTACGGCGGCCGCGCCGGCGTTATGACGGCGACGACCTGAGCGGCGGGCTGCTGTAGCGAGGGTCGTTGGCTCGGTTGGACACGCCGAACGGCTGGTGCGCTTCGTAGTTGCTGCAGCCGCCGCTGCCCGCGCAGCCGCCCGGCACGGCCGCGACCGCCGCCGCCGCCGCCGCCGCCGCCGGCCCGGCCGCGGGGCTCGCCTGGCTGCCGCCGCGGAAGTGCAGCGAGAGCGGTCCGTTCTCGCGGCACCGCGCCCCGCCCGCAGCCTGCGCGGAGGCCGCGCCGCCGCCGCTGCCGCCGTGTAGGCTGGCCCCGTTGGGCTCGCCGACTCCCGAGCCGGAGCTGGATGGGTCGAGCGGCGAGCACTCTGTGTTCTCGCCGTCCTGGTCGCTCTCCTCGGGCTCGGCGTGCTGCCGGTTCTCCTCGCTGTAGAAGAATGACATGTCGCGGAAGGACGCGTCCAGTTCGTCCTTCAGTATGGAGATGAAGTCCACGAAGTTGGGCCGCATCTTGGGGTTGTACTGCCAGCAGAGCGACATCAGCTCAAACCTGGCGGGCACACACGGGCACGGGCGGGGAGGGCGAGAGGACGGGCGGGACGGGTCGCACGCGAGACCGGGGAAAGGGAGCAGGGGGGACAGACAGGTAGGAAAGACATAGGTCACATCGTCATTGTCAGCCGTGATCCATCCACGACTGGATGCTTTCCATCCACGACTGGATGCTTTCATCGCTCTAATTTCTGTAGTTGCCGTCTTCTTGGGCGTGTTCCCTTCTATTGGCTGCCATTCCGTCGTTAGTCTTGACCACCAGCCATCATCCCTGCTCGTGATGCGTCCTGCCCAAGCACACTTAAAAAAAATGTCTTAGTGGTCAAAGAGCTGACAAAGCGCTTATGTTCTCAGATCCATGTGTTCGTCTTTCTGTTTCTCGGTATAATTCCAAGAGGTCATAAGGACAAAACAACAACATACATTTTTACTGCGTACTAATCATAAACACTACACGATCCAAAGCCAGTGAGCAATGCAAGGAGCGGCCAAAGAGTTGACGAACTGGACAGCAGCGCGAAAGCGGAACCAGCCACGCATTCCTGCGCGAAACATCTTGCGCAATAATCCACCAACTGCGGTTGATGTGGACGCACGGGCCCCGTTGTTCCCGAGGACCTCGCGTCAGAACGACCGCCGTCAATACCGCCACACACCCCCCCCTCCCCGCACTGCGAATCCGGTCCAATTGTTCGTAGTGAATCCAGGCGTATGCCTATATAAAGACACAGGACTGCGTAGCCGCTCTCTGGGATAGGGGGCGGGCGGGCGGGCGGGCGGAGGGGGGGAGGTGGAATTGCGGCCAGTTTGGCGAAGTCGCGTCTTGGCATGCACGGTCGACCTGCGGTCAACTTACAATGCGTGCCCAGTCGCCAACGGCAACAGTCGCTCGCAAACACGAGCGAGCGTCGGGCCAACTCTGCTGTCGAGCAACGCGATGCGACGATCCGTCCCCACGGTTGATTGACGAATGGTCGCGATTCAGGCCTGCGATTATTTTTTTGTCTCCTTTTTTTTGCCGTCCCATTTGTAACTTTTCCATTTTTTACGTCTCGTTTGCCACGCTTGCGTTTGGTCCATTCGGATACATCTTGCACATAATTCACACTGCCGCTACAAACCAATACGTTCTCACACCTACGATTTGATGTATCGTGAGCTAGTGGCGTGGGCATCGAGTACGCAGGCGGCGCAACTGCACCCAGGACCCATGGGCCGGAGGGACCGAGGTGCCAGGCTATGAGGGAGCCCCATTTGATTCCTTGCAGCAGGTGCCCATGCGAACCACGCTGCATCATTACAGCCGTGAGCACTTTGTCCATTATAATGGAAGCCTATTTAAAAGCACACGCCCCCGCTGCCACGGGGCAGGAAAAAGGCAGTGCCCACCCCTCTACTGGACAACTGTGAAAAAGAGCTTCGCAGCTCATCGGATTCGTCCAGTCTAAATAAAACATTCTGATTCTAACGCAGGAGCGTCGGCGCGTGAGCGAGGTCCGAGAGAGGGGGGGGGGGGAGGAACTCACAACCGATCCTCGCAGTTCTCCGGCCGTTCCAGGAGGCCGCCGTCCATGACGAACTTGAGCACCTGCTCGTTGGACATCCCCTGGTAGGGCTGCTCGGCCAGCGTGGAAATCTCCCACAGCACCACGCCAAACGACCTGCACGCGTCGCGACGGCCGTCACACGGATCGTCACGAGAACTGCCGCAACCACTCTCACAGTTGTTGATACAGGTCAAACGACCATGACAAGGACCGTCACAACGACCGTCATAACCGCCATCATAACCACCGTCATAGCCTCCGTCTCAACGGCCGTCACAACGACCGTCACAACCGCCGGCACAACGACCGTCACAACGACCGTCACAACGACCGTCATAACCACCGTCATAACCGTCATCACAACGACCGTCATAACCACCGTCATAACAGCCGTCACAACGGCCGTCACAACGACCGTCACAAACGCCGTCACAACAACCGTCATAACCACCGTCATAACCGCCGTCACAACGACCGTCATAACCGCCGTCACAACGACCGTCACAAACGCTGTCACAACGGCCGTCTCAAACGCCGTCACAACGACCGTCACAACTGCCATCACAACGGCCGTCACAACGACCGTAAAAACGGCCGTCACAAGGACAGTCACAGCCACCATTACAACGACCGTCACAACAACCGCCGTCACAACAACCGCCGTCACAACGGCCGTCACAATGGCCGTCACAACGGCCGTCACAAACGCCCGTCACAACAACCGGGGGGGTCGCCGAGGCTTGGCGGTGGCGATGGCCGCTGGGAACGACCGAGCAACTAGCGCGGTGGAGGCGGAGGAGGGCGGTCGCCGCTCGCACTTACCACACGTCCGAGTGCGTCGTGAAGACGCCGTCCTTGAGGGACTCGGGCGCCATCCAGCGCACCGGGAGCAGCCCCTTGCCGCCCTTGCGGTAGTAGTCCGTCTCGTAGATGTCGCGTGTCATGCCGAAGTCTGCACACCGCAAGCACACCGGCGGTTCGCCCCCATTCCGGCATCAGCGCCCTCGCCGTTCGCACGGTGTGTCCGATCGGGCAAAGTGTCCCCATGCTGTACTCAGTTTCGGTGGTGGCCTTCACCGTGGGTCCTAGACCAGTGCTGAACATTGTAAATTAAACGATGTTATTTTACCAGGTAAAGCCCACTAAGATATATAACTCTTGTTCAAAAGCGACGTGGCCACAAATGAGAGCTCAACGAAGTGGCTTATCAAGTGGAAATTTATAGCAGCCAAATACTCTAAACGCATGTTTCTAAATATGGAGGGAAAAAACAGGAGGATCCGGAGAAAAATCCACGCAATCACGGGGAGAACATGTAAACTCCAAATATACAGCAGGCGTCAGGGTCGGGTTCGAACCCACGACCTCCTGTCACATCTCGTCACAGTGGCGTCCATGGCAGAGAGACCACACTCAAACCGCTGTTGACTTCCCACCAATGTGGTTATAATATTTTGGTGACATTAATAATCAGTTGCTTCTCTCATTCCACTGCTAGATGAAGGCCTCTACACAATAAGTGCATTTAGAAACACGCCACCCTTGTAACCTTTGTCACGAGTGGAGTGGCAGTAATGGGGGTTGTTTGACCATACTTCGGCACGCTGGTCAGTGCAGACTGGTGAAGGGCGCAGGACCGGTGGGTTCAGATGTCACTCGCCACTGATGTTAGCCATGGCTGTGGGAAGCAGACTGCATCACCGCTCCCCCCATTGTTTAAGTATCTTGTCTTTGTAGTGTAAAAAAAAGTTCCATGCTATATATTTTTCCCAATTTTAAAAGGCACTACAGACACTATTTATCATCACCAGGCTGCCTGTGAGGGCACACGTAAGGACTTGTAAAGCACTGGCAGAGTGAAACATTCATTACTTTGAATAGCAACATGGGAACACGTGTAAAACAGTTACAGAAGAAATGCATTGTGGTTCTCTGGTCTTAGGTCACCGTCAAAATAAATTTGATGGTTATCTAAAACAACGGGAGCACTTCTTCAGGTAACTAAGCGTTTTTTTTGTTGCATACGCACTGGATCCGTGCGTTTTTGACAGCTTTCAGTGTGTTGCTTGACACTCACGGCTATACAGCCCGCAACTATTTACATTCCGTTACGGTTGGGTTTATCTCGGCGTGAACAAGGTGCGACTCCTCGTAGCCTCTTCCTAGAAACGAGGATCCGGAGCACGGATCACACGCACGAGTCGCGGTGGTATACCGCCCGGCGCCTTACCCCCGATCTTGACCGTGTAGTCCTCGGCCACCATGCAGTTGCGAGCGGCGAGATCGCGGTGCACGTATTTCTTGGCGTTTAGGTAGGCCATGCCATCGGCAATCTCTCCGGCCATCTGCACGATCTTCTTGAGCGTGGGTGGCGGCTTCCCCGGGTTGTTCTGCGGCACACAGTCGGGCGAAGCGCGCTCGCGATTGCCGCTTCGGCTGGCGCGCGTGCAAGCACAACCTCTCACGCTTGCCTCCCAAAGGCGGCTTTATCACGAATCAGCAACGGAATAACGCAGCTCGGCGGGGTAACAATGCCAACCCGTAGTGAACTCGCGATTATCTACGGTAATCAGTGTGGGGTGGGGGGGGGGGGGAGTGGTAGGAAGAATGGCCCAAATAATTAGACCATAATATATTTCGGGTTTCACTATCATCAACATCAACACGATGCATGGGCAGATAGCCCATAAGTGGCCACTGCACGTTTCGTCATTAGTTTACAAAAGGGTTTTCGCGACATAAAGTGGGGGGCGAGATGTAGAACACGTCACCCGTTTGTGTCGACGACCCCCAACGAGCAAGGAGCAGCTAACGGTGAAACCAGGCGTGCGCGTAAAGGCAGCGACTATTTTGTTCGCGTGCGATAATCCTAGAGTTCAGCGCAAATGTCTCCGGCGCGACGTACAGCGGGCGTGACCCCGGGCCGACGCCTGCGCTGTCGAGAGCGCCGCTCCCGCGAGGAGAACCCCGCACTTCGGCCGTGCCAGGGCTCCCAGATTTTCACCGAATCCAAAGTTGCGGTCTTTGCAGGTTTAGGCCGCACGCCGAGAGCCTTTACCCGTCGAACTTTAGGCGCTCGGCAAACGCTATCAACGCCGCGTGCAGTGCGTGGCAAATGCGCTCAATATAAATAAATGCTCGGCACGGGGGCCTCCACCAACCGAGAAGACCGCAGTTGGATTACGAGCGGCCGCGGGAAAACCTACGGGCGAGGTTTCAACTTCGCAGATATCCATGGCGGCGGGTCGTACGCGGAGATGCCGCCGCCCGCTCACCTCGGCGTCGGGACGGAGGGAGCGCAGGTAGCTCTTGAGGTCGCCGTGGGTCATGAGCTCCATGACCACCAGGGTCGGCTGCCCCTGCGACACCACCCCCAGCAGACGGACCTGCGGGCGGGGGACACGCGCGGCCATTCAGTTCCCCCCCCTGAAGGTGCCCCCGGCACGTGGAGCAAAACGTCGGTCACCGTGCCGAACGACACGCGGTGCACGACCCGAAAACATGGCGGAGGGCGTGAGAAGTTGATTAGAGGCGACGTTGACAACAGCGGCAACGCCGTGGCGCTGTAATGCGGCAATAACGGACGGCGAGCACATCAACGATCATGCAGATATTACCTAATCACATGACACTAGACTCACCAATGAGACTACTCTATCCATGGATCGCTTGCCAATGAACCGACGCAGTAATTAACCCTCGATGAATAGATACTGTAGACATGGCTGTCAGATCGACTGTGAACAGAATCGATACAATTAGACACCACGATTAAGGCTTCATGAGGACCGTATACGGGCAGAGACACGCCCACCCTCTTCCATACACGGACCGATCGCCGATTTGGTCGCATGTCCGATTTGATTCCATACCGATGCCGATAATTACACGACCGCGCCGGCGCGAGCCTCTTGGACTCCGCGACGGCGGCGCTTGCTCGCGTTGCAGCGGCGGCGGGCCGGGCGGCGGGAGGTGGGGGTGGACGTGGGGAGGATGGTGGGGGAGGCAGGGGGCACACGTACCACGTGGTGGCAGCTGAAGGACTTCATGACGGAGGCCTCGTTGAGGAACTCGATACGCTCGCGCAGGCTCGCGCCCTCGTTCACCGTCTTGACGGCGACGCGCGTCTCCGTCTCGTCCTTGATAACGCCACGCGCCATGCCCTCGTAGACCATCCCGAACGAGCCCTGGCCCAGCTCGCGCAGCAGCAGGATCTTATCGCGCCCCACCTCCCACTCGTCGGGGATGTACACTGTGGAGGGGGGGGGGGTGTGCACCTCTGTTTAACTGGACGTCTGTGAGAAAGAGGTTCATAGCTTGTCGTATTCCTCCAGTGTAAATAAAGATTCTGATTGATTTTGATAAACGGGCACGCGAAACGGTTCACGGTGCACTGTTGGGAATTGAGGCCACGATTTGGTTTACTTGACAATCAATTTAGTTTGTCTCCTGTTTACCTTCCGTTTTTCTTTGTTTCTCAATTGTATTCTGCCCGGTAATTTATATAAATGCAAATAATGGATCCGTACACACACACACAATTTGATGCATGTATCATCAAGTTGTGTACTTGTGAATCGATGCACCGCTAACTATTATTTAACCTTTACTTAATCCAGTTTCCATCGTAGTTTGACATTCTAGGTTAAAAATGCTTTTCGGTCGTAATTTTTTTTTTACATTTCAGTTCCAGCTCTGCACGATCCTCCCCACTGCTGGCGACAGAGACATCTCAGCCAAACGGCCGGTGGTGGCAGCGGCCATCGCTGGTCAGGACGCGGCCTCTGGCCACCAGCGTTTGGTCAAGGCACGGCGACGCGCGAGCGGTTTCCCACAACTCCTTTTTTGCGTTTAGTTGTCCTTCCCCCGCACCTCCGATCGGCACGGTTGGCTACATACGGTGCAAAGGAAGTTCAACATACACGCGCACGTGCAATAACTCCACGCGGCAGCGTGTCGCCCCCCCCGTTGACGGTGCCTCCCTACGCGTCTGCACGTCCCACCGCGGAATTCCTTGCTCCCGTATCTGGAGCCGCCCGCGGAACGCGATCCTGAAGGACAGCGCGTGTCGCTACGTCGAACGAAAGGTATTTGTCCGTCATCTAAAACCATTTTTGTATCGACTGACGCTGCGTTTCTGAAATTTGCGAATCTCATCCAAGTGAATAATTCTTAAACTCTAACTTGCATTTCACTCCGACGTGGACAGCGCTGATGAATATTAGCAGCGCACTTCACGTCAAGTCGGACTCGTATGTATGCATGCACATAAGGCCTCTATTACTTGACATCTGTGAAAAAGAGCTTCATAGCTCATCTCTCCACGTGGGTGTGCGTGTGGCGCATGCTCGTCAATTCTTTTTCCGGCGGTGTCTCGTTTTCATTCTCGACTTTTCCCCCAATTCTTTCATTTCATGGGTGTCGTGGTCTGAATTTTACACATTGTGCTTTGAGATGCTGAATAAATGTCGAACCTTTTACTTAACGTATATAAAACATGACTACGGAGGTGGAAAAATGGCACGGAGAGGGCACGGGAGGTTAAAAAATACAGGGGGGGCATCCGTGGGCTTTTGGCATTGGGCTTGTCGTCTGCGGAACATCTGTACCGGGCTCCTGTTTAATAAATAAATGAAATAATACAGGGGGCGTTGGTGTAACGTTGGCACTGGGGTCATAGGTCAAAAAATAAGCAGGCAGAGACGAAAAGGGTGCAATGGCGTGAAGAGACGGAGATAGGACATGCTGACAGCTTCTGTGAAGGGCTGACGGGCCTGCAGGCACGGATATCACAGCCACGGGATGCCACAACTAAAGGTCGACTATTCCAGTGCTTCCCAACTCCAGTCCTCGATACTCTCCCACCGCGGGCCATTCGTCTTTTCGTGATTACCCAACCTTTTATGTTCGTACGCAAATGAAGCCACTGCCATACTGCACGCGGCTGAAGGTTGGCAGTGGTAGCGGACGGGTGTCGAGGTGGGGCACGCACGGATAGTGGGAGGGAGGAGGGAGGGAATGAGAGAGGGCGAGTGGGGTACAGAAGGGGAGTGAGAGGAGACTTGTGGTGTTTATAAACTATATAATGAGAAGCTAATGGGTTGTTTTTGCCCACCAGGCCCCGCCAGGCATCACGAGGCCCTACCACAGTTAGATGCACTGTGAGGACTGGAGTTGAGAAACGCCGGGGGGAAGAGGGGGGGGTGGGAACGGGTTTGGGGGGTCAAAGTGCTTCACGATGCACCCTCACGCAGCTTACATCGGACTGCCCCCCGGTATAAACCTCGGCTCTTTCGGTCGCAATTTTTGCGGACCGTGGCAAAAATGCCCAATTATAATTGTCTATCAGCCCAACGCCCCTCGCCATCACAAATGGCTTACCAGTGTCTATTAAAGTGAGTGAGTATAATGCAGGCCGATCGATATGGCACGAGATGTTAACGTTTGATGTTTTAAATGTTGCACCGACCTTCGTTGGTGCTGATGTACTCGGGGTTCACAGACGCGTACAAAATCCCGTTGGGCAGACGAGCCTCATTCCTGCACCAGGGAATAAAGAAAGGCGACAATCAACCCAGCGTTTCATCCAAACAGCCCAAGTCTCCCCAGACATTTTTGGAAAATTAATTTTGTCATCTGTCTTTTCAACCGCGCAACAGTCATGGGAGTTTTGATGTAAAGCTTTCGTGGCTGCAGGGATTCATATTCTTGGTTCTTTCGGTAAAGCCACGTAGAAGGGAGTGCCAATGAAGGGAGTGCCAATGAAGCCTCCTTGGCTGTCAAAACTCTCTTCACGTTTGCTTTGCCCATCAGAGTATTTGTCCGGTGTTGTACCGGCTCATCCATCAGCCCACGTGAACACACATTGTCACGTCACTTATCTTTGGTCATCCTTGCCTTCATTTTCGCTCTACCATCCCGTGCAAGATGATGTTGGGGGGTTGTCTCCCTTTTCATGTTACGTCTTCATATCACCCATTGCAGTTCACTTTTATTCTTTGCTGTTGCCAGAAGTGATTTGTATTCTTCCATCTTTTCACACTAAATTTCATTACATTTTCCGTTTCAAATGCACACACACACACACACGGACGCAACGCACACACGGACGTTGCGCAACGCACACACGGACGCACCGCTTCTTGACGAAGAAGAACAGCAGGCCAGCGCCGATGGCGACTAATACGAGCAGTAGGGAGACCACGATGACCACCACGGGGATCACCTGGCTGGGCTGGGCCACGGCTGCACGCACACACACAAGTGGGGGGAGGGAGGGGGGTGAGTCAGTGTGCACGACGCTCGCTCTCGCCCATGTTTTTGGACAACGTGGCAGCCAATTCCTCGCAGCCGAAGGTGAACCTTTTGCCATTGCTGCGTTGAGTATTCACACTACGGAGAGAGGGTCGAGGCCGGACGTCTGGTTTTACCGGACCAAGACCCGGCCGTGGTTGGGCCAGCGTGCAAGCTGCGGGCTCGCTTGCGCCGTGGGAATGAGGAATGAGCGGTGGCGGCGACGCTTACAGGGTGTGGGCACGACGAAGCTGATGGGCTCGCTCCAGGACCCGTTCCCGGTGAGCGAGGTGGCGCGCACGCGCGCCGTCAAGTTGCCGGGCAGCAGGCCGTGGATCTTCCTGCCGTGGCCCTCTCTGCGGTAGGCGATGCGCGACACGCACTCCAGCCGCTCCACCTGCTGCTGCCGCGACACCAAACGTGAGCACAATCGGGCCGCTCGCCCGCACTCGCACCGCTCACACCCGCGGCTACACCGTTCACTCATCGTGTGTACAAGGGCGATGCCGTGCGTACGTGTGTAACGCCGTGCGCGCCTGTGTAACGCCAAGTGTGCATGAGCAATGGAGCATACAACAAGAGAGTGAACCAGGAGTAACAGCATCTGCTCATATAATCTGCGTATAGCTGTCTGCTGCCTATGAGGTGTCTAGTAAATATTTATGTATATATTTATTTATAAACACATATGTGCACTGAGGTAATGGTGCTCAGCTCCTGTTCACAGCCCTGAGCCAGCGGTGGAAATTTCTCATTCCTATGTCAGGGGCGAGTCTCCCCATAGGACAACCACCACTGACTTCCCAACAAGGTTGTAACTCACTTTAACAACCCCAGCGGGATGATGGGCTGAGTCAACCCAAAATCAGGATTTGAATTCACAACCTTCGGACAGCGAGCAGGACGCTCTGCCGCCGAGCCAGCTGGCCACATTCTAGAGATGCGTGTGTGGGTGTGTATATATGTGTATCAATATGCAAGATGCGGCTGCACTGAAGCAGTGCGTGAATCTAATTTGCTTTATCTGCATGAATAATTATCAATCAACAGGCAAGCGAAGTGAGTTCAGAATCTGGCAAAGGGAACAAAATGCCGTCGCCCGCTTTCAGCGGCTGCGGTGAGCGGGGGTGGGGTCGCGGGGTCATGGGTCATGGGGTCGTGGGGTCATGGGGTCACGGGGTCGCGGGGTCATGGGGCGGCCTGACCTGCTCTCGCCAGACGGTGATCTCGTAGAGGATGATGAGCCCGTTGGGATTGGTGGGCTCGGGCCACGACAGGAAGACAATGTTGCTGTTGAGCAGCTTGGCCGCCATGGAGCCCGGGATATCATCGGCGTGGGCTGAGGGGCAGGTGCACACAAAGATAAAGATGGCTACCCCCCCGCGTAGCCTTCACAGACTATTGTGGCAAGTGCTTACGAAGCACGGCACGGTGCTCGAGGGCGTGGTGTGGTCGACATCACTTTTGTATACATGTTGTCAAGAATTGGTTTACGTGACCTATGCAGGCACCGGAGGAAGCTGCATTTTTGGCCCCCGAATCATCATTACAAGGCCGATAGTCTTCACCACACCGGACGAATGCCTCATATAAAGAGCGTAAATAATGGGGTAACGCTCCCCCGGCGTCACATGACGAATGGTTCTTGACAGCAAATGACTGGGCGACTATCTGACGATTAAATTTAAGGACTAATAATATTCTTTGCTGGGCGGGGTGGAGGTGGTGGGAAGGGTGTGGTGCCTCACGCTCTGGCATGGTCCTGGCGAAGACGTAGTTCTGCATGCTGCAGCCGAGGTCGGCGGCGGCGTGGTTGCACGCCTGGATGTCGATGCGGTACACCGTGAAGTGGCGCAGGCCTTCGATCACCGCAAACTCGCGCTGCCGCACGACCTTGTCCATCGTGGGGAAGTTGTCACGGGGGGCCGCGGTGGTGCGCGCTCCTCCGCCGCCGCCCGCGGGGCCGTCCGTCGTCCGGCCGAAGAAGGGCGGCTCGTCGCCACCTCTGCCGCCGTCGAGCATCACCACGCTGGCGTTGCTGAACGGGGAGGTGGGGGCGGCCGGAGCCTCGCGCCGCCGTCTTGACGGCCTGCGCGCGGCCATGGGCGGGGGGGGGCGAGACACGCTTGGATGGGAACACGTGACAACGCGGGCGGGGACCCCCGAGGGCGAAGGCGAATCACCTGCGCCATCCGCTAAACCTACGGCAGATACGCCTAGAACACAGCCCCAGGCTAAAGCTGGGCTCGTGGAGAAGGAGGCAGTAGAAGAGGAGGCCTCAAATGGCGACTTCTCTCATAAAATGATGAGTTCTTGCTAACCGCTCCGATGAATGAGCGTTGTAAGCATGTGACGATGTCTGGATATATCAGTGCATGGACTAAAATCGATTCTCATGTGTTGTAAGTGTTTGGTTCGCATAAATCCTGCAGCCAGTAGAGGCACTCTATGTACCAGAATGGCAAAACAAACTCTGTCCTAGAATGTAATTGGCAACAACTCTGACGATTCTTCAACTCAACGATAGGGCGAATGTGAGACGCCTCGTACGCACGCAAGCCTGGTCGCTCTTTCACGTGTTGGGTGAATCAATGGGACACCTACATCCGCGTCGACTAACGCGGGAACGACGACTGTGGCGGATTTGTGAAAAAAAAATACCCTGGTCAAACCCAGGTTCCTTTGGGCACACAGACATTCAAAGTACACTTCCCCTGTGTCCAACCCTAACAACGCACCTCCACCACCTTCCCCCCACCCCCCAGTGTTAGCAATCACACTCAGCTTGTTGTTGTTATCGTAAGATTGATGTTGGTTCAGCGTGCGCATCCAGTTCTGTGTCTGTGTGCGTACGTGAGCTGACGCAGCTTTGCAGCGGAACGTCATGAGAGAATTTGCGACGTAACTTTTAAATATAATGAAAGTGTGTCTTTTTGCTGTTGTTCTCTTCGCACGAGCGCGAATGTGTCGGGGTCTCTCAACGCAAACTACGCAAAATGATTTGTTGGTTAATGCTGCATTAACGCATTGGTGACGCATCGCCCCGGCAACAAACCCTCAGCGGAGCCGATTTACAGGACCGGCTGAGTCACCGAAGGGGACGCGAGGCGGTGACGCACGCCGGCCATTACACCCCCAGCACAGGAGAAGTCGCAAAAATAAAAGTACCGATCGCTCTGACTGCACACGCGCGTAACACCCCACCTACAAATATACACCCACCAATACCTACAAATATCCACCCACACCAACCCACCCAACGCGGTTCACCTAACGAGACGTCCTCTCTCGGCGTTTGGAGGGATGGGAGTCTTAACTGACGAGATGCGTACGGCGCCGTAAAGAGGTGGGGTGCGGCGTCGCCTCATTACCAAGCGGGAAACGCTTCCAGTGGACGTGACTCCAAATTAGGAGGAGCGATCTTGACGTTTTTTCCCGATGCATTAAGCTCAAGACAAATGCGTTTGGCCATCAGCCACCGTGGGTTCAGCCCGTCCATCCAGACGTGCATTTCAACCTCGCGCTGTCAAGACGCACGTGCGCCATAACCCTCTCGTGCACCGTGTCCACTTTGGCGGAACCCTTACGGTCTTTACCACGGTTATTCAAATCGTACAAAACGTATTTGACAGATTTGAGGTTGTTAATCCGGGTTCGTAGTGCGGTGCGCTAACCGCTGCGCCGCCGCTCCATTCAATGCAAGTTGCATCGCCGCGAGGTTAACGATCAGAATTCTCGGGTGAACCGATTCGTCGTTCCCCACGTGCTAGCAAACGCGGTTTGATGCTGGGAATCAAACATGCCGTTTTTAAACAGGAAACGGAGGAGCGGTCTGGTTTTGGGGAATGAGAAACACACACGCGCTCACACGTGGCGTCCGTACGAAGCCACGTGAAACCAGATTTCATCCAAGGTAATTAATCTCTCCACCGTCCGCAGCAATAACAACGTCATGTGCCTCTGTCACAACAACATCACGCCATACTTAAGTACCCTGCGTGCGGAGCCGACGCTTTTCCCCGTGGTAATTCCGGACAAAGACGACAGCTAAAAATAGCGACGGTCAAGTGACCTCTGAAGCGTACACCGCGCTGCTGCTGCTGCCTCAAGCACGGTCGGCCGATGGGGAAAAGGGTCGAGTCAATTTGTGGCGTTCGGAAAACTGTTTTCTGAAGACGAAAATAACACTGCAGTTAAACATTGCCTTGCGCGGTATACCTGCCGCTAACGTTGGATGGCGATTTCGATGCGTGTGGAAACAATGTCTCCTCGTGCTCTCATTCCGTGAAAACAAAACTGACGGAGGGCTTCTGCTGAGCAGCATTTTTTTTACAAAGGAAGGTGAGAAACCACACATTCAAGCTTACAAATCATCGGAGTGTTAGAGCGCCCGATGTCGGCAATAGATCACGGTAGCCTGGGTTGTGGATTGGAAGCCGAATCAACGGTCTGTCTGAGGAACCAACGCTTTCTGGGAGTGTCGCTCACACGATTTAATTAAGCAACTGTCAATTGTCCCCAAAGCCAGAAGTACAATGGCCATCCCTGCGCTTTACAATGGGCCCAGCGGCAAGAAATAAGGGGCATGCAGTTGAACACCACGAGATCTCGGGCGGAGAAACCCGGTGCTTCATTGGCCACGTGAAGTGGTCACCGGGACTGCTGTGGGGAGGAATGAGCCGGCTAAACGTGTACGCGGCCACCGCCAGTCGTGGTGAACATGACTGCGTCGAGCTCGGATCAATCGGTAAACGCGTGGCTCCTCTAAGAAGCCAGGCGGTCCCTGAGCATGGTAACGGGGCGGCTGCTCGGGAGAGGGGGCTCTCGTGCGCTTGTCCCTCGGAAGGCCTCGAGAACATCCGCGTACGTTGCCCGTGCGCAGTTTACGACGAAATCGCAGAGCCGCGGTTTTGTTCCCGCCACGCCCACGCAGGAGCGGTTTAATAGGCGGGGAAGAGGCACCAAAGGAACTCTCCACCGCGACAATTATTCATTTATTTATTGATTGCAATAGGGAATCAGCCAGGTGCATGGTTCCTCTGACAGACGAATAGCAGCAAAAATCACATCTCCGTTTTGATTGAGCCTCTGTAGCAATGTCATCACCTTACCTACTGTCGCCAATCTCCCCAGACTTACTGCCCGGCGGTCTGAAAACGCAAGACATGCAAACTTTGTCCTTGAATCTCAGCACATGGCACTCCCCATCACTCACACCGCCGCACCTCTCTCCACTCGCTGTCGCAGGTGACGGTTGTGTGAACTTCACAGCGCCACTTCAACTAGGTAATTTTTTCCTGCCAGCATGATGCACACGGCCAAGTTGTGGCATGCCCAAAAGTCAATATTGCCAAAATGAACAAAGAAAGGCTTTTATTTTAAACGTTTAAGAGATTAAATTCCATCTCCCTGCTGCAATAATTTGTATTATGCAGGTAACATTATTATTTGAGTAATAATGACCCAGGAACACCTCGCTGAGTCTCAAGACTCTTTTTCAGGAGGGTCCTGCCAAGTATTCGCAGTCGGGAGGCAATGTTCCTGCTGAATGTAATCCCAATTGAGTAATTTGCAGGAAATGTTTCAGCATTGGGATGTTAGACCAATACCAGTTACAATGTTTTTTATTCTTGGTTCTTTCGGTAAAGTCACGTAGAAGGGAAACAATAAAATAATAAAAATATAAAACAATAAAATTCTCACGACGTTTCGTGAGAAAACCACACCTGACAATGATTGCTTGTGTTGCAGTCAAAACGTCGTGAGAATTTTATTGTTTAATATTTTTAAATTTCATTGTTTCCCTTCTACGTGACTTGACCGAAAGAACCAAGAATATGAATCCCTGCAGTCACGAAAGCTTTAAATCAAAATGTTTTTTTTTGTATGGGATGAAATCGGAGAACCCTGAGGAAACCCGTGCAGGACAAGGGAAGAGAACAGACAAACGCCACTCAGAAAGGCGCCCGAGTCGGGAATCAAACCGAGGCGCTTCTTACTGTAAGCCACAGGTGTGACCAATGCGCCACCACCTTGCCTGTCCTGTCCTTGTTCACAGATGAATCCTCCCAAACCTGAACCTTAAAGATTATCGACCTGCCCCCTCCCCCCTAGTGATTGGGTTTGGGACCGTTTCAATAACCATTGACAAAACCAGCTTCCAAGTCATTATTTTCTCCTGGAGGTTGTAGTCACACAACCCCTCGTTTAAAAATGGGTTTACAAAATCATCGCCGGCGTAACCAAAGACGCCACACCCTCCCGCTAGCGCCCAGCTAACGAGCCTCAAAGTGCCGGGGGGCCTACGGGACAGGCGCCATCGTCGGCCGCGAGCTTCAGGCCGAGGTCGAGCCAGCGTCGCCTGCTCGGGGGTCGCGACCTCGCCTACATCACGAGGCTGACCCACCAAACCAAACCGCCGTCACGTTGCCACTGCCGCCGCCGCCGCGCACCTGGGTATGAAGATGGTGTTGTGCAAGAAGTTCTCAAACGCCTTTTGGAAAGCTGCCTGCTCCTTCTCCTTCTCGATCTCGCTCTCCGGCTTGGGGCAGGCGCAGCAGGTAGTGGAGTGGCCATCGCCGGCCGTTGAGTTGCCCTTGCCGGGGACGTCGTCGGAGTCTATCGTGCCGGGCGAGTGGTCCGGCGACGGGATTTTGAGGCCTAGCGGTGCACCGGGGTACAGAACAGGCGGCAAAATGAGTATACGCGAGATCCACCGCTACGTTGCTTTTAACAGGCAAGTCTGTTAGTGAGCACCTTTAAACTAAAAACTAGTTTTTATTTTACCAGGTAAGGCCCACTGAGCTATATAACTTTTTTTCAGAAGCGACTTGGCTACAAATGATAACCCAGTGAAGTGGCTTATCGTGTGGAAGTTTATGGCCGCCAAATACTCGAAACATATGTTTATAAAATGTGGAGAAAAATTCACGCGGCCACGGAGAGAACATGCAAACTCCAAATATACAGGCGTCAGGGTCGGGATGGAACCCACGTCCTCCTGTATACCAGGTGAGGTAGTTAACATCTCGTCAGCACGACGTCCGAATGATGACACTTATGAAGGTTGGGACAACGTACGAGAGAGCAGCCAGCAACATGCCGGGCTGTCTTTGTCCCCTAACTGTCTTTGGCTACTCAGCACTGTACCACTCGGTCTCACTGTACCGGAGCACTCAGCGTCACTGTGCGAGCTGGGAATACTCAGTCCGACTACTCAGTTTAGAGTGCTGGAGTACTACCCACAATGCAGCGTGACCCGGGCGACCCCACGCACCTTGCTGGCAGTAGTTGAGCTCGAAGAGTTTGCTGTTCTCAGGCTGGCGCTGCCAGTAGAGGCGGTAGTAAGAGAGGTTCCCGTTGGGGCTCATGGGCGGATTCCACTTGATCTTGATCGTCGTGTTGGAGGCGAAGACGGAGACCACGTCGCGTGGGATGGACGGCACTGAAACAGCAACGCAGAAGCAAAACAACAGAATTACATGGCAGTACGGCAGGCGATGATCAACTGATAACGATTCTCGTGCTCACAGCAACGACATAAACACGCCGCAGTCTGCTTCCCCGGACTGTTAAAGATTACGTGATGTTCACAGAAAGAGAGAATGCTGAATGTGCTGTCATCATTGTACAAATTTGTAAAAATTACACCGCTAACAAGTGAAGTGCGAAACTACTGCAGACTACACTGGTCTGTGAAACACAGCACGTGTTCCCTCGAGGTCGAGTATGATGATCGTACATGGAGAGCGATCATGGTCAGGGTTTGTGGAATCACAACATCTTGGGAAATACTCCATGCTCTCTTATAACGTATCCTGGACCCTCATTAAAGGTGCAGTTGATGGAACGCTGAAATATTACTTTGTTTCTGGTGTTGAGTGTAAACCCCATCCTGCCATATGCGTCAGCAAAGACATCAACAATGGCCTAAATATAATAATAGTGGCGTGGATTTCAAACGCACTGATTTGATGCGTAACACCCAGAAGTCCTACTGTAGCGTACAGTCCGCAGGTCCCCTGCCACGCCTTGAGCGTTACGCACGCACATGAAATATTACAAATGTCTCTCGAAAAGTCAGACTTTTGGGGCAAGTGATGTTCATGTGCATTTATGAGGGCTGGCACGGGACATGAGGGACGGGGTGGGTGGCCAGCACCATGCTCGACTGCCTTTGCCTCCCCAGTGGCAATCTTTACACACCGCACCAGCTACTTGTTTGCGTCGACCTAGGGCAGGGGTCGGCAACCTGCGGCGCCGGAGCCGCGTGCGGCTCTTTGACAACTGCTTCGTCACGTTATTATTTATTATTCACGCGTAATTGCGGCCCTTGAAATATTGAGTTTTATTACAGAATTCGAAAAAAATGGCTCTTCTTGTTATTTTGGTCGCCGACCCCTGACTTAGGGGGAGGCTCAGGACCGTTTTCGTCACTGGCGTCGGTGGTCAACGGGAATCAAGCTCTTAGCACAGCGCGCTAACCGCTACATTACCGCTCCCCGCACGTGCGCGCGTGCGGCTCGGCACATCTCACCGCTGGCATTGGTGCGCACGTAGATGATGTTGCTCTTGGCGCCGTGGTTTCGGCCCTCGTTGGAAGTGGTGAGCATGTAGGCCTTGACGAAGATGGCGTACTGCGTCCAGGGCTTGAGCCCCGCGAGCATCGCGCGCGGCTGGCTCTGCTGAGCCGTCTGGTTCGTTCCCTTGTTGGAGGGCAGTGAAGGCGGCTCGTGGTCCTGGAACATCCAGCTGTTGGAGCCGCACGCGTCCTGCCCCTCGTACTCCGTCACGTTCTGGTATATCCTGCGTGGTGTGCACCCCGAGGAGGAGAAGGGCAGCCGATGGGGGGGAGGGGGGCAGTGGTTAAGACAGTGGGCCGGCCAAGGACCGGTTTGGATATCGTTCGTCCCCGTGGTCAGGATTCGAATTCAGGTCGTCAGATTCCATTACACAACGCTAACATTGGCGGTGAGATATATCTAAACTGGTCCTGGGCACCTCCTGCACCAACCCACACTGACCAGCATGGTCAAGTATGATCAAACAACACAGCATGGAAAGGCCTTCATCCAGCAGTGGATGGAGAAGGGCTGTTAATCTATAAACATTTTTTTGGTTAGATACGGGCTTGGAACATGGCTGTGGTGGAACACTCTTTGTGTTGCACTGCGGCAGTGGTTAAATGTGGGCCTGGCCTCCCGCCGACGTCGCCCCGGGCGAGCCCCATCGACGTTCACGCCGAGGGCAATGGCCGCCCGCCCGACGACCGAATGACGGCACATTGTCTCCCGATCGCCGGAGCTCGGCCGCGCACAACGGAATTGGCGCTTTCTGTAGCCGCAAATTACGGGGCTCATGCACAAGGCGCGAGGCCGGCACCGACAGTCAACGAAGCCGGGGCCGCTCGTCGCTGAAGACGGACGGCGCTCGTCTTATCTTCAGCGAAGCAAAAGGGCCGTTTCAGTTGAAGATCTTTGAGGCTGGAGTCCACGGCGCGAGCTTCCATTTTGCTCCGCGCCTCCCGCTGAGGTGGCGGAGACGTTGTGACGCGACTTGAATGTGGGCGCATAAGCCACGAATGAGAATGAGTTTGTTATTTTTTTCATGAAGGATGTACAAAATATAACATTTAAAAAATCTGAAAGTGAATTATTAAGTCACACATGACCTGACACCAATGAGCGAGGCAGAGGCCACAGGACCCACAATTCGACATAGGTGGCTGCGTAGCATGCCCAAGTGCCTGCGCTCTTTACACTGCAAGAAAGCAACCATCCTGCGCCTGGCAGAGTCGTAACGGTGCATTTGGGAATTTCGGACGGAATTCCAAGAGCAGGAATTCAAGACTAAAACTGTCATCGCGAGACACTAAATGTGAACTCCTCCAAAAGGTTCTCAGGATGTTTGGTATGCAGGCACGACACCGGGCACACCTCCCCTTCACCCACCCACCCTCACCCACCCACCCCCCCTCACCCACCCCCCCTCACCCACCCCCCCCACCACCACCCTCCCCAACACGTCACGCAACGACAAAAGGTTCCCACGATTCCACAGGAGCTCGAGTCACGATGCGGAATTTCTCCTGCGCCGGAAGCCTCGGGGTAACGTTGGCACCAGCGACTTCCGGTCCAACTACGGCGACGGTGGCGGCTGTACGAGCCGGCTAGCGCCAACGGATGCGGAGGCACCGGAGCGGAGACCTTCGCGCCCCTGGCCGAGCGGCACCGACCACCGCGTGAGCACGGGCAGAGGGCACTCACGTCTCCTTGTAGTAGATGACGAATCCCAGGAGGTCCCGGTAGTCCGGGGGCCGGTAGTTTGTCCACGTGGCTATGATCATGGTCTGGCTCGTCTTGAGGGTCGTGAGTTCCAGCAGGGTGCTCTCGCCTGAGATGATGCGGCGGCGGCGGCGGCGGCAGCGGTGCACGGCAAGCGCAGGGGGGTGGTGGGGGGTTGGCGAGAGAAGGGAGCCGGGAGCGGGAAACATTTACTCGCGGAATGAGGAGCTCCCAACAGGAAGCATCGTTATCCTTCGACATTTCCTTGGTATCGTGAACAACAAAAATAAGTTGGCAAGGCAGCCCACTGATAAATGTGCAAAACACACCATCTTGCATAAAAAAAAAAAAATCCACGTTTGGTGCGTTAAGCCGATCACCGTGATGCCGTACGTACAATATTCGTACCAGTATTCAGCTTCACGTCAATGTTTTAATAATACTCCCGAGTATCGGCGTTGGTAAGTTGCGTAGGAATTGGTTGAGATTTGTAGTGTTCCTTAATTCATGTAAAACCGCCTTCCTGCCCGTGCCTCACAACACAACCAGGGCGACAACGACTAAAGGAAGTTGCGTCTCTACACCTTGGTCTGAGAGTAGCCATGAAACCTGCGCCTCCCCCTAGGGAGGGGAGGGGGGGAGCCCCGGTCCAGTACGCAGGGTTAAATTATTAAATAATGGATGAGTTTCTGTGTGCCGAGCACAGGAAAGAGTTTAACTAGCACCTAATCGCAGCGTCGGTGACCAATGTACGAAGAACGGCATTCTGGTTCCCATAAAAACAATGCGGTTGCACAACGGCAAAATGGCAGGGTGGGCAGCACATTTGCCGCTTTGGTTCGAGCAGCAACGGCTTCCCTCGTGAACGCTGCAGATGCGTTTACCAAAAATGCATGCAACCTGCTTCACAGTGCATGTCACAAGGTCCTGTGGGGCAAGAGGAGTCCACGTGTGCCGGGCGTCACATGACTTAATTTGGTAAAACCACGTCGCCAAGTCGCCCCGTTCGCTGACAGAGTGCATTCGCCTGCAACACCATCACACCTTTGTGACAGCTACGTTAATGGCACGAATAACTAAATGTGCTAATCGAGTGAAGGGCAGCAGGGGTGGCTTGCGTACAGGAAGCCTGGTTTCCGTTGGTCTTTCCCGAGATTTCGCTCTCGTCCTGACGGCCCCAAGTTCCCGTCTTGTTCGCCATCTGGTGGATCTCAGCGGGGCAAAGCTTGGGGTTGGAGTGAAAGAACATCTTGCCCCTCTCGATGGTCAGGCTGTGACGGTCCCAGTCCCAGAGCTGCTGGAGGTTTTGGTTGTCCAGGACGTAGAACGAGTAGTTTCTGTTTGCGGGAGAGAAAATGTCAAAACCAAAGAAACGCCAACGGGAAAACACCTCCACCCACCCCGCTGCCGTTCACGCCGGCCGACAACGGAACGTTCTGCTTCAGACAATGGCTGCGAGTGCAGAGCACGAGGAAGAGGGGCATCCGCCCCCCCCCCACACTGTTTTGTGACGGGCGACACGCGGACGCGCCTCACCCTGTCTCGAGCGTCTCGCCCTTGATGAGGCGCAGGTTGCGGAAGAAGGAGAGCGAGATGAGCGCGTACGAGTGCTTAATCTTCACGTAGGCCGTCACCTCCTCAATGCGTCCCAGGTTCGCCTCCAGCTCGGCCGCGATGTTGTCTGCAGGAGAGACGGACCGAGGGGCAGACGAGGAGAGGGTGAGGCGGGCGGAGGGGGGGAAGAAGGATCGGGATGCGGAAGTTGGCAGGAGAGGATGGAATTTTTGGCTGGCCATCGAACAAAGACGGCCACCGCATCGCGCGCTTTCAGATGCGCTTCTGCGGCCGTCTGGAATGCTCTTCCTTCCGATATTAGGAAGCCACTGGAGCTATGTACTTTTAAATCTAGATTGAAAACTCATTTCTTTAAAACTGCTTTTTGTGTTTAGTATGTTGTCCCTTCCCCGCGTCTCCGATTATAACGGTTGGCTACGTATGGTGCGAAAAAAGTTTAATATACATACATACAAGGCATGAACGTTTAAGAGAAGACCAGAGACAGAAAGACAGAGGCACTAATGGGAGGCAGGGAACCCAGGAAATGTCTTAAAGCTTGTAAGCATTTTCAGCGCTTTGAGGCCTTGTGCGAATTGCACTACAGAAAAGAGTTTATTATTATAATCATCAATCATGATTTAAAGCCGTTGATATAATCAACGATCTTAAACAATGCATGCAAGTTATATTCTATCCATCGGATGTGCCAAACGATGAATATGGATCGTGCGTTGGTCATTATTAATACACTGTGCAGACGGATGAACGCAAGTCAAAGATTTAATTCCAGTGCGAAAATGGACTTCAACCAAACCACGACTTTGGCAGGATTCTGCTGCTTCTGCTGCTGCTGCTGTGGGGTTCTGGTAAAATCCTCATTTGGAATTCAAGCCCTGGGCAATCGATTTTACACTGAAACCCAATCTTGACACCCAATTGTCTATCCACGGAAGGGACTGTCGCATTACATGCGGCGATGCAGATATGTTACCTGACTGGATTTGAATGTAAGTTGAACTTAGTATAGTACGTAGCCAACCCTGCTAATTGGAAGTGCGGGGGAAGGACAACAAACTAAACACAAAAAGCATTTCAAAAGAACTGAGTTTTAAATCTGAAATGGTAAAAATGTGCAAAAAAATTACACTCGAGTAGTAAGACTGTTTAATGAGGGTTCTTCAATTGGGATGATTGGCCAATGAATAATAATAATAATGTCTTGTATATAGGAGGAAGCTAGAGTAGCCAGAGAAAATCCCATGCATACAGGATGAGGAGAACACTCAACTTGGTCCACACGGATGGGATCTGTGCTGCCATGTCCTGGTCACCTCACAGCCCAGGGGGATTGCGGAGTTTCACAAATCTGCGTGACCCACCAACCCTTACCTCCAAAGCGCTGGACCGCAGGCAGCGGGCCACAAGATACAAAGGCCTATTGCTTAACCGGGAAAATTGCTTAACCGGGAAAATAAAAAGAGTACAGTAACAATGCCCCTTGCTGGCAGACGACACCCGTTTGCAGGCCGGTGCTGTGTGCACCTGGTAGCACGCAGGGACGATTTCTACTGTGGGTCCCCCCTAGGGGAGACCGGCGGAGCGCAACAGAGCGGCCGAGATGCGATGTGACGCAGGGCGCTTTGAGATGCCGAGGCATTTAAGCAAGCGCCACTACGCATGCAAATCCTTATCCTTCGTCGTTAAGATAAACGCGTTCTACAAACACGGCGGAGCACTCTGTGAGCCTCCGCCCGCTCAGCGAGCGCCGTGTCACCGCTACGATGACACTGTGATACGCACTGCCTCCTCGGATGTTGATGTCCAGGCTGCCATTGATGATGGTGCAGCCGTTGAGGTCTTGGGCGGCCGTTACTGAGTCGATGATCTTCTTGTTTACGTGGCACACCTTGGGGCAGAGCCCATCGCACTTTTTGCAGGTCATGCTATGGGGAAGAAGGACAGATGGGATATACGGAGGGAGGGAGGGAGATTTGAGGTCATTTTGTGAGACTTCACTTGAACAGGAATGCAGTTCATTGGCGCGCGCAACAGAGTTATTATACCCAGTAACAATTGGCCAATGTTAATTTCTGGAGCCTTAATGAGAGTCAAAATTGCTCACTCGTTAGTTTGTTGTCCTTCCCCCCGCGCCTCCGATTAGCACAGTTGTCGACGTACAGTGCGTAAGAAGCTCAACGTACGCACGTACAAACATGAGTCCAGCGGTAGGCGACACGGACGGCCGCAAAGCCTGACGGGGGTGCGTGTCTCCTTTACGAGACCGCGGAAAGTGGATCAGTGAAATATTGGATGTCATGCATTCAGCGTTGCACAGCACGGTGTCTTAGCAGCACGGCGAGTGACGATGTGAAACTAAACTCCAGTGTCATCATCATCATCTTCACCGTCATCGTCATGATCGTAAATTGTCGCTCGCTAAAAACCTGACACTGTCACTTAGGTTCTCAACGCACGCTCAGACCGCAATCGAAATATCCAGCGTTTAAACATTGCTGATTTAATTCTAGATTTAAACCTTTCGTGACTGCAAGGATCCATACTCTTTGGTTCTACGTGACTTTACCGAATAGAACCAAAGAGTATTGCTGATTTAGTGGTGAAAATTACACGGTGCATCCCACCGGTGCGGCTGAAATAATAAAACTTGTAATGGCTCGTTAAACGCTTGTACATCAAATGTCAGGTGGTGGAGGATCTTAACGGCACAAAATATCATGTTGCGTGGCCTAACCCCAAACGTCTATTATGACTCTTGGGGCAGGTGCTGTTGGCGAGCACCCAGTAGGGGTGGCACGGCACACGACCGGGGGTGGTGTTGCCAGCACCACGCTTGGCCACCTTTGTCTCCTCACTGCATGTGTTTACACACCACGCCAGGTACTCGTTTAAGACTGAGTCGACCTACAGGAGGCCCATAGTGGAGTGCTAACCACACCATCTCACTCCCAGTCGTTTGATTCACACGCATGCATAGCACACCCATACCTATTTGATACAAACACATTCGAAATATCAGCATTATTACCATGACATAAATCACCGCTGTTTTTGTTATGCAGTAAAACACGAATTATGTACAACTTGAAAAAAAAAAGAATGTCTCTCGGGTCTCTACAAGCGCACTGAACGTTTGAACGTCTAAATCCAGGTGAGGTACCAGACATCACAAGCAGACTTCAAAGAACCTAAAAATAACATTGGCGATAACAAAACACGAAAAATATCGCACCCCGAAGAGCTAAGCTAGAGTTACTGGCACCGGTGTTACGGGCACAATCGTGGCCTGCCCTGGATGTTCATGGTTTTCCATTCCTGTATTTTATGGAGGCAGTGGCAGCGTAGTGGAAAAAACACTGGTGCCTCGCAACAAGAACGTCTGGGGTTCGACTCCCGGCTCGGGTGCTTCCCTCTCTGTGTAGGGGTTTGTGTGTTCTCTCTTCCTGTTCTTCACGGGTTTCCCACGGGTTCTCCGGTTTCCGTCCCTAGCTAAAAATAAAATCCACTGCAATGGAACCGGTGTTGGCCAAACATCGCAATGCTAAAAATTATCTGCAAATGATTCAATTTGGGTTGCAAATATCAACATCGCACTCTACTGCGATAACTTGGCAGCACCCTCCTGAACAAAGAGTCTTGAGACTCGGTGACGCTTTCCTGGGTGAACAAGCGGAATAGTAATGATCCCTTTGCTTGGTTAGTTATTAATTTCACAGCGCACGGTGTATCACTAAAACTATCTCTAACCAAACGCATCCCCGTGTTGGAACCAACAGTCCACCTTTGCTCGGTGGGAGGTCGCTCGTTTTCCTCTGTTGCCCCCATCGTCTGCGACTCTCTTACCCTAGCCTACTGTGAACTGCCCCTGTTCAAGTCCAGGATCAAGGCCATTTATGAAATCTCATCTCTCCCTGCGATTGACCGCCACTCTCTTACGATAAAACAAACATGCCCACTCGTTCTGCACAGCATCTTGAGATGCAGTCGCATGCAGCCCTTATATAAATTCACATTGTAGGGTATTGAACCAGTCTCGCCTAGAAGCCTATGACTAACTGTCTCTATAAAATAAAAATGTGCTCATTGTTTCTGGAAAGCGTTTTGAGATGTGGTTGCATTTAGACGCGATATAAATGGACGTTGTATATCAATGCATTGTGTCGCATGCGATGGGAGCCTTTGTGGGTTTTTGCTGCCGTATACTTCACTCTGCCCCCTCGGCCCCGCTGGTGCTGCCCTCCTGCGAAGCCCATAAACTCTGCTCCACTGACCGCCAACCATGCCGGCTGGCAAGGCCCTGGGTAGGTGGGCGCACGGAGCTACTCGGCGCAGGCACCCGTTCTCCGCGGGGCCTCGTGGCGTGTTCGCGTGTTCACGTTTAAAGCCTCTCACGAAACCGGCGACTCGCGTTCCCTCCTGCAGTTGGCCCGGTCACAGAGAGCCGGCCGCGTTTTTCGCCGAGTTACACAAATGGCAAACAGACATCCTGGGGGTGAAGTTCGCGGAGCAAAGGGCACCATGGAGGGCCCCCTCACCCGGTGGTGACCTCCATCGAGTCGCCCCCGCACGTGCGGCACGCGTGCTCCGAGCGAACGGCGGTGTTTTTTGGAACATTTAAGACGTTGGGTTTTTAACGCTCCTAACCGCCTCCAGGCCTCTAATGAAAGTTTTACGGCTTTTAACGACGTATTACGCGGCCGTTCGGCGAGGACTCGTAAAATAAATATTTTTACTCAATTGATTTCCATCGTTTCTCTTCATCTGACTGTTGTTTTGTTGCTCGAAAGTAGTAGAGTGTAATTAAAATATTAAACTACTCAGGTGGCTGAGTAACCCCTTGCACTTCCGCTTGTGTGCAGATAAGAAGTGAATGCCGAGTAGGGGGGGGGGGGTCCTGGTTGTGGAGATAGGTGGCAGGGCGGACACTCAGTGCCTGTCTCAAAGCTCTCTCTGCACTACAGTTCCCGTACAGAAATGAATAAGACGAGTTCTGTGGATGCCAACACCGATAAATGAAAACAATATAACAATATTTTTACAACATTGAATTGAATTCGGGGGGAGGAGGTTTCTTCACCCGACACCTCTTTTTCGTGCCTCATCACACGGCATAAAGGGAACGCAACGGCGAGAGGTCGAGGGGGCATCTGAGGCGGGGAGATGGGCGCTGGGTCGTCCGGGTGCGTCTGGGCGCCGCTCCCACCCCACGCAGGACTGCGACGGGCTTGTGTCAAGAGAAAGATGTATACGAGCGCCCGGAATGTATTAATGCATTTGCGAAATGTATCAAATAAAAGATCACGCATCGGGCTATGCTGGGAATGTGCAGTGCACGATCGGCCAGGGCAGCTTGATGAGGCTGGCCGGCTCGCCAGAACAAATACCCAAAGCTCAGCACGCGATGTGAGAACGGCGGACGGCGGTCAAGCACACACGATAGCAGTTGCATTTCGGCAGCAGATGGTGCCAGGGGAAATACAAAAGCGAGATTTATTTATCGATACCTCGCTAACATAGCGGGGAGGGAATCAGAGAAAAAGCACCGTGGTTAAAAAAACAAACCTCGGCTCTCAGTGCCCCCCTGAAACCTCTCCTCTCCGCACTGCGGTACCCCCGCCCGCAAGGGAAGCGCGTGACGTTATGAACGAGTGGGACGGGCGCCATCGCCCGACGCGTAAAAATGACGGTGTGAAGCTGTGGAGTGTGTGGCCGTGTTCTGGTTACTCCGCCCGTACCCATCGTCTGGAAAACCTGCGGGTATTTGCCGGCGAGAGAGCGCGGCGGCTGTGGGTAAACACGAGGCACAGCGCAGGTGTTCCGCCCGTCCCTCGCTCGCCGCAGCGCCATCTATTTATGGCGGCACAGGAAGCGTTTCACGCCATCAATCGATGGTCCGTGCACGCCATGTCCTTTATCGGTGATCACCATCGGCTGTGGCGCAGTGCAAAAAAAAGCACACAAAACGTTTCCTATTTCCAAAGTTAAATAAACAGTCGAGCTAATTCATCGACTCGGGAGGGGTTCCGTGAAAAAACAAGTGCAGCGCCGCCGCCGCCGCCGCCAGTGTGTTTTGATGTCCGTCGAAAAGCGTTAAAGCGCCGGGTGTTTGCTGCGTCTCGGAGACGCATTTCCGAGTGCCCAAGGAGCAAAACGTAAACACGCGACGCGCTCTCGAGCGTTCTAACCGGTGCACCCACCGAGTTGGCCATTCGCCGCGGCTTCTGCGGATCGAACCTGTGGATCGAACCTGTTACCACCCGGGGACACTGCAGCAACGTGGCTCTGCCATCGAGGTTTCCACTTGGAGAAGAGAGAGAAGGTGGACCGGGGTGGACCGGGGTGGCTCAGGGGTCAGCGACACCGAACCGGCATCGTTGAGACCCTGGGTTTTGGGTATTAGCCTCCGATGACTTAACCAACTATATTCACAAGTGGGGTGATTTGAAGGTCCCAGCTCAGTCACCATGACTGCACACAAAAAATACTCGATAATACATTGTTTTTTCACCTCATGTGGCCAACTTCCAGGGCACACACATGAAAGTGCAGCGCCCCCGAGCGTGAATAAGAGGTCACTTTGAAAGAGCTCTCGGAAGTAGTTCGGTTACGTCTCCTTCCACAGTCCGTCCACTAACACACGGGGGGGTGCGAGGCAAAGCTCCGAGTCAGCTCCGGCCGGACACGTTCTCTCTCGTGGCACGACGCCAACAGTACGAGGAGGATAACAAAGAAAAAGTGACATTTGACTGGTTTTTTGTTTTGTATGTTTTAGGGGCGGCACTCAGTGCCCATCTCGAACCTCTCCTCCTCCGCACTGCGGCTTCTCCCCTGGCCCGTAGGGGGAATCGCGTGACGTTACAAAAACCAACACCGACGCGTAAAAAAACGATGGGCCTGAAGCTGCACGAGCGTGGCGGTGTTCCCGTTACTCCGCGAGTACACAAAGGAGAAGAGAGAGAGAGAATGTGTGGTGGTGGAGTTGGGGGGAGCGACGGGCGGAACACGCACCTGCTCTCGTCCGTCATGTAGCCGGAGGGGCAGCCCGTGACGCACTCCCCGTCGTGGATCACGTACTCGGCGCAGATTTTGTCGCCCCGGCACTTGCGGTTCTCCTCGCGGCAGAACTCGAAGCTCACGCACCGCCAGTTCTTGAAACGGTATGTGCCCAAGGGGCAGGAGGCCACGCACTCCACGGGGCCCGTGCCCTGGTACGCGCTCTGACCCTGGCCTTGGGCGCCCGGAGAGCTGGTGACGGCGCCGGCGGAGGCGGCGGCCGCGGCGGGCCAGTGGTAGAAGTGGCGGCAGGAGGTGCAGGCGGTGGGGTCGTTGAGGCGGTAGCAGCCGCCCAGGCACTCCATGTGGCAGCACCCGCCGCCGTTGGCGCAGGCGCGCCGCCCGCAGTCCGACCGGCAATCTGCTCGCAACGGAACGGCGGACACGGGGGAGGAAGGTGAAGAGTCGTCATTAGTGCCGTCGTCGCCACTGCGCCGGAGAACGTCCAACAGGAGCATCAATGTCATCGTCGTCTCCATCATTATCACCGTTATTCGTTTTAACATCTTAAGGACAAACTAAAGGTGTGTCCGTGCCAGAGAGGACGTCCACCACAAAGATGGAGCGATGAAAACAGCTCGTGTGCAAGTGCTTGATGGATTTCTGCATCCCCGGATGGCTTGTGGAGGCCTTCGTTCAGCATTTGATGGATGACGGCTGACAATGATGACGGTAACACGTACGTCCCCTTTCCCTTGTTGGGACTTCACGGCACTGTGAGATTCTTTACGCATGATCCTGCGTGGTCCAAACACCGTTCACCCTGCCGTATGCACCTTCATCAAACAAGCGGCAAATTCACGATCGCCACTTATTATCGTCACCATCGCCACCGTCGGGAGTCGTTAACGTGCGACAAGCGGGCGGCGGTGCACGCTGGGAAGGCTGTGCAGCCGCGCCAGCGACGCGCAGGAACTCATCGCACGAGCGTTCACGCGGCGACAATCGGCAGAAAGCCGGCGGTGAAACGCCAGTTGGCATTACAGGCTCCGTGCCACGGAGGCGACAGGAAAAAAAAAAACAACAGGAATCGATTGGCTTAACAGTTTGCCAGCGAAAACGTAGGCTCGCCAGGTGCAAATCCACGCACAGTAATTGAGAAAGGGCGACTCGGGAAGAATCGCCTACGAGCCAGGCAAAGGTGACACGAAGCCTGCTAGCCTGCTGGTTTGTTTTCAAGTGGCAGCACCGCGGACCAGCAGCCCGGCCGCCCCTCCACGCCAGGGCCGAGCAATGGGCGAGGAGCACCACGCAACGTGACGAGAGAGCAACCTGCTCGTGCTCGCTGGCACACACGCAGGCAAGGCAGGGTACGCAGTTTACAGCCCAAGCCGCTTAGAGGGGGGTTCGTGGTCGGGGGGGGGGGGTGGGGCGGGTTACGTGTTGTTGTTTTTGCACGCGTTGTTAATAAAATTAATAAATTAATTTACATGCCCAACACAGGAGAGAAAACAGAGAGAGAGGGAGAAGAGTTGCAGCAATGCAAACCGCTGCTGCCTGGGCGCAATATGCCAGGAATGCTGCCGGGCGGGCGGGCGCGCGGCTGCGGCACAACAATCCTGCCACCCCACTCCGCCGACGCCGTTCGTTCGTCAACTCAAACGAGGAGCAAATTTAATCGGGGAGGAGGGGGAGAGGCGTGGGGTTTTCTGGGCCGCAAACAACCCCGCGACGGTGTCACGCTTCTCAAGCGGCACGCTTGATAAAACGATGTCAGTTTGCAACAGCACCAAATTCGGACCTCCGCGGTCAGTCAGTCGGTCGGTCGGTCAGTCGCTTTAAATAAACAGCATCGCTTCGACGTTCTTAGACCCAATTTCAAATTCCAAAAGTTAAAGGGTGATAAACACGGCCGCTTGGAGGCACAAACAACGCTCGGCGTCGAAGGAATGCCACGCTTGTCGCGGTTCACGTCACAAATGCGTGCCCTCGCGCACGCACGCACGCACGGGGCAGCCGGAGAAAAAACACCCCCAATCGGCTCATGCATGATCACACGCTGTCACACACGCTCTCTCACACTCACTCTCTCTCACACTCACTCTCTCTCACACGCTCACACTCACCGTCTCTCACACGCTCGCTCACACGCTCTGTCACACGCTCCCACGCATGCTCCCATCCATGCTCCCATCCATGCTCTCACGCTCGTTTGCCCCCATGCATGCAATATAAGCATTCCACCACGGAGAGCGTCACCCACGCGCCAATTCAGCGATATACTAGCGGTGGACGATGCGGGTGCCGGCAGGTGACGCGTGAAAAACGATCGGCATTACCGTGGCGTCAATTATCAGCATGGCCCGCGAGCGGCGGTGTTGTGACGGCACTGGCTCGTTCGCCCACTCACCCCGCCCGCTCATTCGCACGCCGGCGCGGCGCGCGGCGCACAAGGCCGTGACGACCCGCGGTTTGCGCAAAATTTTGGCGAAGCGAACGTCGACAACCGCTGCACGGCACGGTCGGCGGTTTTGTTTTTGTTTTTATGCGGACAGCAAGCCGAGGCAGGGGGGGGGGGGGGGGGGGGGGGGGGGGGCGCAGAGTGACGAGACAAAGGGAATCATCGCAGGAAGCTGGCACCACCCCAGCTGGTGCAACCGAATACCACAGCCACGCTGACGGAAGGCTGTCACGAGCGCCACTTACGGTTCACAGAAAATAAATGGGTGACATAAGAAAATACTTTTGGGCTGGAGGTTGGGCCAGCCTAAGGCATATACAGTAATTGAAGCGGGGAGCTAAGTTTAGGTCTTTGACGCGTTCAAAGTCTTTATTTAAAGCCTGGTGAGTATCCTGGTGACATGCTAAATAACTTTGAAAAGGTAGGCCTCGTTTATGACTTACAGAGTTTGGCAAATCTAAATTATGGATTGTTTCATTTTTGCAAAGGCCATGATGTTCTTTTATTGATCGTCTGTATGTGAATGTCATCGAATCTGTCACTGATTATTGCACTATTTCATATTGTTACTTATCAAATTTGAGGTCATTGGTCACTAAATTATATATTCCCTGCGCTGCCACTTGAATATGCATCACAGTTATAAAAGAGACTAAAAACACTCAAGGGAAAAAAATAAGCTTTAACAGCTCAATATATTTTTGATATTCGTATTTTGCAGAAGTAAAGTTGATTTGCTGTAAAGTTTGATTTGCTGTAATGCCGCGGTCATCGTCGTCTTCGGGTGGTTCGTCCAAGCCAGTGTCCTCACCACTGCATTCCGAGTTCGTCGCACCAATTGTTACAAAGCCTCCCATACGTGCAGGTACACGCACGTGGCGAAATCACTTCAACCATTATAATACACGCGGCGTAATTGGGTTTCGAGAACATGGGAGTTGATATTCCCGTTTCTTATTATAAACGCAGGGCGCATCACGACCACCACTCGTATTGTGTGTATGTTGAACTTATTTCGCACCGTACGTAAACAACCGCGGGGAATAAAATAGTTAACAACGGGAGATACACGCGAGCCCCGGGAAAACAGCATCAAGCGCCAACCTGCCGCCAATTTATCTCCCAAAGTCCACCCAGAGGGCCATTGTGTATTGAGCGATTAAAAGCGCCCAGGTCGTTTCACGCATTCATTCTGCCGAACCGGGCAGCCAGGGGCTCGCGTCACGGCTGCCAAAGCGGGAAAAGCAACTGGGCTTGAGATCCCGACGGGCTTCTGTCTGCAGAGACGGCGAACACTCGGCCATTCATGCGGGGCGGAAGTGGCAAAGTGGGGGAGAAAAAAAAAACACAAGCCGCGACAAGGCGGCCTGTGAAAGATTTACAGGTTATCGTCACAGGGAGGGAGAGGGGAGCGGAGGGGAGGGAGGGAAACCAAGCCACAGGCGCTGGGGGCAAGGCCAAGCTAAACAACAGTAAATTAAGAACCACAGGGCGACCCCGCAAACAGCGTGAGTCACTCCAGGGTACGTGGCGACGTGGCAGGCAGGTGACAAACAGCACCCAGCGCACCTGGTGACTCTGGGCTCGGTGTCCAACGCCCCTCGCCGTGTGATTTTCCCCCCTGCCACACTCCCACCCCACCCTCGGCTCGTGGGAGGGGGGGGGGGACGCGAACTCCGCTCATCCTCGCAGTAGCGGATTTGGCTGCTAGCCATCGAACAAAGACGCTCACCACATCGCGCACTTTCAGATGCGCTTCTGCGGCCATCTGGAACACACTTTTACAACTAGACTGAAAACGGAATTCATTTAGAACTCCTTTTTGTGTTTAGTTCAATGCCCTTCCCCCGCACTTTCGATTAGCTCGGTGGCTACATACTGGTGCCCAAAGAAGTTCTACAAACCATACAGCAGCGGAGATGCTTCCGGTTAGGCGCCGGCTCCTTTGCTCGTTGCTTCACGGCTGACCGTGGCAAAATTTACTTGTCTTGATCCCTCTCGCGTTCACTGTCAATTAACGTGATCCAGGTCTCCCGTGGACTGGAAAAGTCTCAATGGGATCTCACCTGGTTTTAAATACAGCACTGTGTTTTATTGCTATTTAGTTTTCCTGGTTGTTTTCTTAGTCCTGCTTTCTGGGCTCACCGTAATTTTTGTACCGAGTGCAGGCGATGGTCTGACAGCTCTTGCGAGACAGGACTCTTTGTAAACAAACCGGGTTTTATAGTACTCACGTTAAACCCAGCTTCCTTAGTTGGTCACCAATGCCAGGGCAGAGGTAAAATAAGTGTTGCTCCAAATTCAGGCAGCTCGCTGCCCCTTGTACACAGCTCTGCATCATCTCATCCGATCCACCAGCTTGCCTTTACATCTGAGTGGCTAAATCAAATATAGTAAAACCTTGGATTGCGAGCATAATTTGTTCCGGAAACGTGTTTGTAATCCTAAGCACTCGTATATCAAAGCACTCGTATATCAGTTGTGATCACGTGACGCTCGGCAGACAAAGCGTATACGTACTACTCGTATTGCAAGACCTCGCTCGTTTATCAAATTAATATTTATTTGCAAAAATGTGCTCGTCTTGCAAAACACTCGCAGACCAAGTTACTCGCAATCCAAGGTTTTACTGTACGTCTCAAAATGCTGTGCAGAACGAGGGGGTATACTCATTTTATAGAGGGAGGCTCAGTCATAGATATCTATGCGAGTCTTATGAGTATCCGTATTGGAATATGGGTCTCTGTGCGAGTCTATGGGTCTTCTGTGCAAGTCATTACAGTACTAGAATGTAGATTCACGTGGCATCTGAATGCAACCGCATCTCAAGATGCTGTACAGAAACAGTGGGCACATTTATTTTACAGACAGAAAGGCAGTAGTCAGTCACAGACATAGGGGAAAAGGAATGTATTGAGCCTGAATTTGAACAGGGCAGCGAGTTGACAGCAGCAGAAGAG